TGCTTCCGCGTCTGCCACGGCCGGCTCTCCTGGTACTCAATCCTCCAGTCAAGCCTCGATGTCTGGCTCCCCTGGTGGTCAAACCTCCGACCGTGCCTCGATGTCCGGCTCCTCTGGAAGTCAATCCTTCGGTCGGATGTTGACCTCTGGTTCCCCTGTCAGCGACATCCCTTCTTCCAAGAGCAAGGTTGTCGTCTGGGTCACCGCCACTGCCGAAGTAACTGTTACCAACGACATCGATGTCACCCTGACTGTCACGCCCTCGGCTGCCGCTCCAAGCTCTACGGCTGAGATCTGGCGCATCGCCCGCATCACCCAGGACATTGCTTTAGGTGATGGCACCTCGAATCACACTGCGACAGTCAGTATTGTCCAGATCGAGGAAGGCAAGGAGGTCAACGTTGTCACGAACAGAGACAGCAATGGCGGAGGTCCTGTCAAGCTTCCTCATGAGCTTGTCATCACCGACAACTCGGGGGCTAAGTTGACCATTTCCTTCAAGGATGGTGATCAGCCCTACGAGCTCAAATCGGAGATCGGTGGTCATACCCAGGATTGGTCCATGAAGCAATGGGGCAACAAGATCGCCAACGGTCCTTGGTGCAAGATCATTAAGAACACTACGGGCGAGGTAAGCTCTTATATTCCATTCTCGTGGTCATCTCACATCATTCTTTGAACTTTAAGCCTAACTTTCTTCACCTTCTAGGGCGTAGTCAAGCGGTCTGCAGAGTGTCACTACCGTGCTTTTGGCCAATAGAGACCTCGAAGCTCATTCAATACCCCATTATCTCCCTTTTCAGCACATTCTGGATGAGACGGAAGTGTAGAATGCGAAGCACGAAATGAAAATCACGGAAAGGATATTGCGAAGGGTTGGCATAAGTGTTAGCCGACATAGATGCCAATGTCCGCTGTGGTAAGGCAGAGGATGGTATTCTCAATGCAATAAACCACGTTCATCATGCTATTCGTGAAATTGACCTTGATCCTTTTTTCTGTATCGCAATGACTGCTTGTGAACCCGTGCCATGAGAATCTTCCACAGGTAACGTGTCGTAATCTCTTACACCTCGTACTCCTCAATGACACTCCTGGGCTCGGTGTACTCTCCAACCCCAACGAATGGCATGCTCAGCCCAAAGGCTTGAGGGCCTCCCACGGGCATACCTCTCTCTGTCTTCCAGAGAGGGTGAGCAGGTAGCGAGATAACACTCACACGCAAGCCGTAGCGGAGGTCCTGAGACCCGATAGCCTCCCCATCTTGGCCTAGAATCGAGATCAGATCCGGCACGGTACACAGCACCTCTTGCTGGCCGCCCTCTGAACCCTCTTCATCTGTGAGAGCAGCGTAAAGGTACTCGTTCTGAAACGGGATGAGTATATGCCGGTTTGGAAGCGCTGTGTTCTTTGTGTTGGAGTCTTTCTCTTCGTCGGCAAGCGGGGCAATGAGGACGCTGCCCATCGTGTAGCCACCACCCACATAGCGCCTTACATCGATGATCTTGCCTGTAAAAAGAAGTTTCCCGGCACATACTTCGAACTAGGAGCAGATCAGTCAAAGATATTCAGGACAGCATCATGACCACCTGGTTCTCTCAGGGGTGGTCCCTACTCCGGGCCAAACGGTGCATCTGATAATGTAGGTACTCACGATAGCATCAACATAGCTAGACTTCTTCTTTCGCGCCATATGTACCGCCCGACCTAGATACCAGGCTTGCGATAGAGTGTTGGGGACGCCGTGGGACTTTATGGCCGAGCCGGGAAGCGGCCTGGCGCAAACGGCGCATCCGAGGCCGAGCTCAATTGCTGCCGTGCGTAGGAATCGCTCCAGGCGAACTGGCGTGTCGCAACTCTATGTTTGTATTGAGTCAGTGTGGAAAGATGGCTGTACCCGAAAAGAGAACCCACCATCACAACGGAAACGTTGCCCCTTGCGTCGGAGAGCGCACAGGGGGTCAACGGGTGACCATAGACGCTCAGCGTGGCTGTTCAAGACGCTTTGTTAGCTGATCATGGCTTGTCGATCGACTTTGACTTGTTACCTTGATACATGGTCGGATATGCTCTTCCCATCGCGTCGCCATCGATGACCGGTATGTCGTAGTGTACGCCAGTGGGGAAAACACTGAGACCATTGCCTCCTCCGCTACTCTCTGTCAGTCAACATGCTTAAGCGACCTTAGATTTTTAACTCACATCTCGTCGATGAAAACCCCGTGAAGGGGTACATCACCCAAGATCTTCCTCACGGCATCGATGCCGCTAGGGATCTCCGAGCCACTAGCAATTCTCTCGTTGATGACGCTTGGAGTGCCATACCAGGAGCCGAAGCATACGATGTCAGTGTCGGCGAGGGACGAAGGTGATATAATCCTCATCTTGCCAGGCTCGCTATTGCGTAAGACATGCAAGCTTTTCAAGAATTCGTGGTGGGTTGGACCTCCGCCCCCAGTTCCTAGCACACCACAGCCTGTTGATATCAATTCCAGATCTACCTCTGAGACATACCAGACCCCTTCTCGGACGTCAGGCCGGTAGGTCTCGAGATCTATCCGCTGTGAGGGCTTCGTGGTCGGCTCTAGAGCGTCCGGAACACTCTCCTTTGGTGCCTCGGCCTCCTTATCTTCTTCAAGAACTAGCGTCATGCTCTCAGGCGAGAAATTGGGATCCTCTGGAACGCTCAGTTTGCCGACAGCTCTGACTTGTATCCTCATGGCGCCATTATCGACGTATTGAAGCGGCATCTTGTTGACCTCGACAACGTGGACGTCTGCAGGAGCTGCGCACTTTTGGACGGCCAGATCGATAGCCTTTTGGCACGTCGCTGCAACGACTGCTTTCTCGTCTCTACCTTCAAGGATCTCAATCACGTCGACTTCGCCAGAGACCTTGCCAATAGCAGCGCCAACCGCATTGGCAGCGCCTTGGTGAATAGGCTGAATACACTTCTCGACGCCTTCGAGGTTGTCTGTGACAAGAAGAGAACCCCCTCCCACCAGAAGGACGTGTACAGGGGCAGCGGAAACCCTCATCTGCTCAATAACACCTTCCAGCATCTTTTTGATCTTCTGACGCGCGTCGTTAATGGTTGAGCGTGGGATGTCTTTGATGAGGCTCGCGTCTCCCAGCTTCGCGTTCCCAGAAGCCACCACAACATCCGTTGCTGTTAGTGTCGGACCGCCAAAGATCCTTGCCTGCTCAGTAAGGAAGTGTCCAACTGACCCTGGGCCAACCGTGACGCCCTCAAATTCGGAGTTCATCTTGACTTTACTGCCGCCACCGAGCCCGATTGAGATGACCTCGGGCATTGAGAATGCTGTTCTCACCCCACCGACTTCCACGAACCCGGGTGCTTGTCTCGGAAAACCAGATGGTAGCAAAGCACATACGTCGGTTGTTGTGCCACCGATGTCAACAACGAGCACTTGAGGCTCCACTTCCTTCTTCTCCGAGGTATCTGTAGAATCTCCGGTTGTCGTCTTTGCTTGATCCAGTCCGGCGAGAAAAGCCGCTCCAGTCATGCTATTTGTCGGACCGCTGGCGAAGGTCTTGATGGGAAACTCGGCTGCCGTATCAGCATCGATCAGCGTGCCATCATTCTGGGACAGATAAAGCGGACACGCCAGCTTTAGCTTCATCATCGCGGTTTTAAAACCTCGGATGACCTTGTGTGCTGTTCTGAGAATTGCGGCATTGAGAATTGTCGCGTTCTCTCGCTCCAAAAGGCCAGGTGGGCCTATGTCATGGGAGCAAACCAAATTGAGATCCGGCGCTTCTTCCAGCATGATTCTTTTACAAGTTTCTTCATGCATACCGGAGTGATCCAGCGGTGAAAAGATACCGACTAGGGCAACTGATCTCACCCCAGACGCGACAATGTCTCTGGCCGCCTGGCGAATCTGCTCATGATCGAGCGGCGCAATCTCCCGACCATCGATCTCCAGCCCTCCATCGAGATAGTGGACTCCACCATCTAGAATACGATGAAGGCCAGAAGGGAAGTCTGAAAATGGGGGAATCTGTCTTGTGAATGGCCCACAGAGACGGACAACAGCGACCTTGCTAAGCCGTCGCGTATCAGCCTCAACAAGAGCGTTGATGAAGTGCGTTGTGCCTATGGTAACACTCAGGACTCGCTTCTGGTCGATTTCTGAGCTCTGAATTACAGCGCGGATTGCAGCTTCTATGCCAGTGGTAATGTCTGGTGTAGTTGAGGCCTTGTGGGAAGCAAGAACACCGCGGCCGGGCGTGTCTGAGGCCGTAATGTCAAGGATCGCGGCGTCGGTGTTCGTGCCACCTACGTCGACACCTATGCGGTAAAGGGCCATGATTGATGAACTCTCGTATGGTGTTGAAGGTGAAGGCTGAGGTTAAAGGGGGATATACAGTGTGGTTGCGTCTGGTAATTAACTACTTGCTCTATCTGCCTCTTCTTATGGTGGATGGCGGATGGCAAAGCTCTTAACAAAGGAGGTTAAACTAAGGCAGACTCGGCCAACCAAGACTTTGATAAGAGGTTGGCCGACAACAACACCGACGGAATGTTGAATGATCGAAGAGATGTCAACTACTGGCGTCCGTGTAAGTTGGGGCACTCAGTCGTTCCAGGAGCCCCGCCTGAGGGGTTCACGACCTCGAAGTTGGCCGATCGATCGGCCAACTTCAACCTGGACAGGGGTCATCCCCAGGCGCGGCCCTTTGCTCCTCCTCCTACGTTGAGATAACACCTACTAAAATTTCCGAAAGCGCCCTAGAGAGTGATAAGTATCCTTGTTAGCGCAACGTGGGATGACTGCAGAGTGCCGAGATAACACCACCATAGACCGACATTTATATCTTCAACCGAACTCCTCTTCAAATAATGCATGTCTCGTGCCGCACTCATGTCCGAAGCGAAAGGACTCGAACAGACAGGGTCCCTTTCGTCCACAACTCTTTACAACATCGTTCCATTTGCTTGCTCCAAAATAGCTAGCATTTGATCAAAGGAAACAATGGGGTTGCAGGCCGCCTTGAAGCTGGTGGAACTCCCCTATGTTTCCCGCTGGATTGTACGTAAATTCAGCCCACCTCCGCACATCGTTCATGTCGCCGGCTGTTAGGGGAGGGTGGCTAGTCAAGACAACACTAACACAATTTTTGACAGAATGATGACATTCGACCCATTGAGGCTCAAAGACGTACCTGGGGTTTCTTGACGTTTCACAACTTTTGTGCGTGAAGTCTTATGTGCACTGGGTCCTCTTTATGCTAACTGGTTCCAAGGGCTGTTGGTCAACTGCAATATCACCACCTACTTGACTGGCAGTGCCCTCATCCCTCTAGGTCTAACTTGGTGGCAGGCCTTCATATGTGATTCTCATCCCTCTTCCGCTTTTCCTCAGCTCTGCTTAACGTGTTTCAAGGTATCATTCTTGGCAATGTTATTGCCACCGCCGTGGTGATTATCAACTCACTTCCGGGCAGCTACTATCATAGTACGTTTACAAAGTGCAATTCGCGGCAGACTTGGTTGCTAAGTCTACCTAGTTGGCTTTCCTGTGTTCAGTCGAGCGGTATGGGGTATGTGGGGATCACAATTCGTCATCTGGAATCGCATCTTTCTGTCCCTTGGTAAGTTTCCCTACTCATCATACAATTACGTCACACAGCAGACCATAAACTCATTCTGCCTGTCTCTAGTCTGGTTCGTAGGACCCATTATATCAACATTGCCGGCATGTTGACCTCTACTAACACACTATACATAGGTATGCTTTCACTGCCTGGGTGGGAGGAGAGTGCATCTACGTGATCCTTCTTTCCTGGGATCCAAAGCTTGAATCCCACATTCCCAATGGCATGCCAGCGGACACGGGTATGACAACTGCGCAATTCGTCTCGTACATCATCTTCAGCGCTATTTCTCTCCCAGTCATCTGGATCCGCCCGCATCGTCTCGAGAAATTCTTCCACTTTGCCTGTTCCATCACTCTTGTATTTTTCATTGTACTGCTTATCTGGGCTCTCGCAACTATGGGATCTTCAGGCTTCGGCGATACCATTACCTCAGGATCAGCCCTACCTAACACAGGAGGATCAGACAGTGTGGCTTGGTTGATGATCTACGGCATCGTCTCAACAATCGGTTCCATCGCGGCGGGCATTCTGAATCAGAACGACTATTCTCGATTCGCTACACAACCTAAGCATGCCATCGTAGGCCAAGCTATCTCGTTCCCTTTCTATAGTATCTTCAGCTCTCTGATCGGCATCCTTGTCACTGCAGCGACCCAGGAGCGATTTGGTGGCGAGGCCATCTGGAACCCGCCTACGCTCTTTGCTCAGCTGCTGGCCCAGGACGAAACAGCCGGAACGAGAGCAGCATGCTTCTTTGCGGGTCTCTGTCTCGTCATATCCCAGATCGGAGTCAATGTCCCTGGAAACGCGCTTGCTGGCGGCTTTGACCTGGCTGCGACATTTCCCAAGTACCTGAACATCCGTCGTGGCGCCTACATCACCGCGATTTTCAGCGTCGTGGTCAACCCGTGGCGTCTCGTCAACACTGCAACAATATTCCTCACTGTCCTTTCAAGTTATAGTGTCTTCTTGGCTCCGATGACGGGATTGATGATATCTAGCTACTTGATTGTTAACAAGAGCAAAGTGAACGTGGACCACTTGTACCGCGGCGATTCGGGGAGCATCTACTGGTTCTCCTACGGTTTCAACTGGCGAGCCCCAGTGGCAGTGAGTTACCTTCCATCTTTATTGAAACAAGACAACTGTTGACTCGCATTTCAGTGGCTTGTTGGCGTTGTGCCCTGCATGCCAGGCTTCATCGCCGCCGTCGACACGTCCGTAACTGTTAGTGAGGGCGCCACGGAGCTGTATTCCATGTCGTATATCTATGGGCTTCTTTCGAGCGGCTTGGTGTACGCGTTGCTGCATTGGCTTTTACCGGCGAGAAGTCTGAATGCCTTTGTCAAAGATGCGCCCTCGGCGCGTGAACTTCAACAAATGCAACAGAGCAAGTGGGACGTGACGCTGGCCGAGACTCCTGAACTTCTTGAAGTGCTTTCTGGGCCTGGACCCAAAACAGCAAACTCCGCCACACCCTTCAAAGAAGACGTATAGATGCCATAGTTTACATACTCAATTTCCATCCCTGCCATTATCTTCTCCACTACCTACTTCGAACTCCTTTCCCGTCACTGCTGCAATTCTTATCGAGCTACCTTACCTGGGCATAGTTTCTGAATCATGTACTCAGAACTTCGTGATGATGAAGTCGTGAGAATTGTTATGATAAAAACAATCATTAAGCGATGGCAAGTATCAGGACTGCAGTTATGGTCTGAGAAAAGGGGTAAACCCTTGTAAGTTGTTGACCGACGGAGCATGTTATCACCCCGCCCTAGCGTTGCAATGACAGGTCCCGCATGTAAGCCACTAACACTGATGACCCAAACGCGCACAGGCGGTATCGGTATCGGCCAACTCCATCGGCCAACTTCCCTTGTACAACACCCCTTTCGGCCTGATCGCGAACCCTCGATAGCTTAGGTTGATCGACACCATGCCTAAAGATACCAAGAAGTCTTCCCAAAGACGTAAGTTCAAAGTACCGAGCGAGTTCGGCCAGGCAAGACAATCGAGAAGCCGGAAGAACCGCCCTTGTGACGCGTGCCGTAAGAGAAAGACGGCGTGTGTGATCACCTCTACACCACCATGTAAGTCGTGTGGGCTCCCAGGTTCACGTGTCTTGAAGATGCATGACTGATGAGTTGCAGGCCTTTTCTGCAAGGGGCGAGGCATAGAATGCAAGTCATCGGCTTCGGATAGTGTTGCCTCCAGGTCGGCTCTATCTGCATCCTTGTTCGCATCTGCACCCGCCCCTCAAGATGCCGCGCAAGATGGGCCTTCCAGTAACTCGGAATCTCCGAGGATAGCATCAAACAACATATGCCCTTCGGCTCGTAGGGATTCAATCGAAGTGATCCCAGCACCCTACCTGCAGACACTAGAAGACAATGAAAATAGGACAGCACACAGCATGGGCCCGGCAGCCGAACAAGACACCCACTTCCTCGCCTCCTTCCGCTCAGACGTCCTCAGCGGGCCCAATCAAATTGACGCAGAGTTCATTCAGGTCTACGAAGGGAGCGGATACCCCTGGGATCCGCCGGTTCACTTCTGCCTCCTGCAAGACGAGTTCACGGCCCACGATAACTCAGCCCGGGAAGAAGCTTCTCGTGCGATAGAGGAAATGGTTGAGCCTCACGGTCCTACGCTTGTACGCCTATACTTCAGACACATTCACCCAGTGTTGCCTGTTCTGTCGAAGGTCAGGTTTCTAAGACAATACACCGACGATAAAACAAAGCTTCCCGCCTCCCTCCGCGGGGCAGTATACGCACTAGCCTCAGTCTTTTGGAAGTCTGAGCCGTCACTCCAAGGCTTCCTTCATTTCCAACAGCATGAGCTCGCCGACCTAGCCACAGACTCGTTGCAAAGAGAACTCGACTCGCCAAACCTGGCAAAGCTTCAAGCATCCCTGCTCCTCCTCCACATGACGCCCAACAAGACAGACAGTATCGCGCACCCCAGAACCTGGACATCGACAGCGCAGGCCGCAGCCGCTGCTCAAATGATCGGGCTGCACCAGGACGCTGAGAAGTGGAATCTACCGACGTGGGAGAAAAGGCTGCGAAGGAAGCTTTGGTGGGCTACGTATATGACTGACGTGTGGTCGGCAGTGTGCCACGGAAACCCGCCACATATCTATGCTGCTTCTTTTAACACGTCACCCGTCACTATGGACGATCTGCGATCCGAGGAGAGCATTCCTGAGGACTTGCGATCGCTGGTTTATTCTAGTAATGTGGGATTTGATGTTGCTTCCGGAGCGCGGTTTCTGGAGTTGGTAAAGATAAGCCAGACCTTGCGAGAGGTAATTGACTGCAGCTTGTAAGTACCTTCCTACCTGAAATCCGCTTTTGACTCCGATGATAATGGAGAACTGATGCCTGACTCAGTCAAGTGCCTAGGCTTGCCCCTCCAGACTCACAGAAGATGGAAATGGAGAATCGAGGGTGTCTAGTCTCGCTCCAGGGAGAACTCCATAACTGGGCAACGATACTGCCGCAATGCCTTACAATGCCTCATCTCAAGGGGGCAATAAGTATTACATCCAACAATGGTATGTTTTCGAAAATGTCCCAGCGAAGGTCTTGATCTGATGGGGGCAGCACCTCTACATCTAGCGTATTACGCCCACTTGGCGCTTCTTTACCGTGCTCTCATGAACCCGGCTACCAAGGTTGCTAAGGCAATGCCATCATCTAGCCTTCGCCTGTGGTTCGGCACGGCACTCTCGGACTTTGCTAGTTTTACGGACTTCATGAATGAACTAAACCCTGAGGACCTACGAGGCTTCTGGGGCTGCCGTACGCCTCCTTTCCGCTTCACCCAAACCTTTTTAGAAAGGCAAGAGAATTTGTACTGAGATCTAAGCTTTCCCTAGACGCCCGATCTCAGCTCATACTCTGCGGTAACTTCATCATCTACCTATTTGTGCTGGCAACTGAGTCAGGAGACGTCACGTCGGCCTTCAGCCTACTAGAGACCTTTTACGACACGCTGCAGCGGCTAAACCGACAAGTTGACTCAATCTCGCAGTTACTCCTTCTCCCGGTCAGTCTTCGGATTGACTCCTTCTTCACCCAGGCAGCCGATCGACTACGTGGTGGGCCAGTTGCCGACAGTACAGCTACTACAACTTCGACTCCCGCAGCGGCACCAATATCACTCATGAACAACCCCTAGGACTTCGTTTCTTTGTTTCAAATCATTGCGAATTATGCTGTTGTTGTACACTCCGATTAATGCAAAGCCATGTGAATCCATATGCAGCCCTGAGATACCAATCGAGACAGAATCTAGTTCTTCTCCTCCATACCATCCCTCAAAATCTCAATCTGCTTCTTGATCTCGACCCACAACGTCAGCTTCTTCAAGTCGCCGTCATCCTCAGCGCCATCGACAACACCAAGCCAGTCATCCTCAAGCTGCTCCGTCAAAGCCTCGACACTGTCTCGCTTCCTGCTACCGCGATGGTCAGAGCGGCGCGCAATGGCAAGTAGGGCCGCCACAAAGGCCTCTTGAATGTAGGCAAAGCTAAACTTGTCAGTAATCTTGGCGATGGCCTCGCAAAGCTGGTCGGGGAAGTCGATGTCTTTGTTGCTCTTGAGCTTGTTTTGCCAGAAGTGGCAGTAGGCGATGCGCTGCTCTAGATTGGGATCGGGGAAGAAGTATTTCCTGTCGAAGCGGGATGGGCGTTTCTGTTGCGTGTCAGTCTTCTAGAACTTGCATACACGTTCGCGATAGGAATAACTTACAGAGATGCCTGGGTCGAGGCGGTCGAGGTGGTTGGTGCTGCCGATGATGAAAATTCCATCATTGGCCTTGAGGCCGTCCATCTCGTTCAGGAAATAGCTCCTCACGTCATCGGTGACAATGGTGTCGAGATCCTCCAGCACGAGGTAGCAGGGCGCATACTCCCTAGCCTTGCCGAAGATCTGCTGGATAGAGTACTCTGGCCCCATGAAGGACGCTAGCGTGCGCACGTAGAGAGTCGTGATGTCCTTCTGGAAGAGCATATTCATTGTGGCCTTGATGGAGATGGTCTTGCCGTTGCCCGGCGGCCCATAGTAGATGAGACCGCGCTTCCACGGCACCTTGAGGTTTTGGTACGTCTCCTTTGAGTTGTAGAAGGATAGGTGATCCTCGATGAGCGCCTTCTTCATGTCTTCATCCAGGATGACGTTCTCCCACGAAGCATCGCGGAAGCTCTTGAACAGCTCGTGGCTCTTTTGCCAGTACCCCTGATCGAACACCCACACCTCTTCGTGGAGGTCGCTGCTCCACTTCCCTGCGGCCAGGACGAGCTGGTCGACGTGGTAGGTCTGTGGCGCGAGGACGTAGTAGTTCTTGATCGGGTACGGCATCACGCCGTCGCGTCCATCAACGAGGTAGACGATGAACTCATGGCCCTGCCATTTGTACAGGTACTTGCCGAAGTTGGTAATCGTAGCCAGACCGCCGAGATTGCCGTCCATGCGCCGGGAGGGCGGCAGGTATAGCAGCCATTCGAGGGATGAGGGCAGGTTATTGCCATCCTTGTCATCAATAACCTCGAACGTGGCGTGGCCGCCTTGAGCGTAGGCCAGGAGGTTGCAACCGTTGCCGTAGCCGAGGGACTCAGGAACAACGACCAGCTCGAGGTGGGGATACTGTTCCTTGAGAGCCTTTGAGATGAGGGCGTCGGTGTTGACGCGTTTGGCGCTCGAGTGCTTGAAGAACTCCTTCGTGACGGCGTCGCTGGGGCCAGGTTCTGAGGACCGGGTATTGACGTTGACGCGGGTGCTGCTGCTGCTGTTGCTTGCGCCAGGCTGGGGCTGGGGGTGGGGCCGACGGGGGATCGGGGTCGGGTTGTAGGACGGGTGCTGGAAGGCATCCTGGCTCCAGATATCGTGGGGAGGCATAGGGAACGGAGGCATCTTGTCACTTGGTCGTCCGGCGTCCGATGAGCTGCAACGGGTGGTTTGTGTGTTGTGGGATGTGACGAAGGTACGGATGGTAGATCCGAGGAAGCTGTTGGAGATCGAAAGTTGGGGTGAGACGAAGGGGTTGGAGAGCTGAAGGGAGCTAAGATAAGCTCAGCTGCGGAGCTGCGGGGGAGGGGGTTTACTTGTTGTTCGCCTCAGGTTGGAGCTGATGAGTTGTGCAGAGTACTGACTATGCGTATGGAGGAAGACAAACATAGGTCGCTAACTTGTTGCCTAGAGGTGTTCGTAACCGGTGGAACGTCTGAGCCGGGCGAGCTGGTCTTGCTGGGTGCCGTTTGGGGAAGTTGTCTGGCTGTACCGCCGGCCCTGTGGTGGGATGACGTTGAGCCATTCGTCCATTCGTTCATCCTCCGGGGCGAACAGCCAGGGGGAGCTGCTGCGCCACCGTTCGTGTTCGTCAACAAGGGTATACCGGGCGTCGCGGGGTGTCACAAGCAGCTTGGCGCCTGGAACCGGCCGATGGGGAGCTTTATCGTTGTGCTCTATCCTATCTAATCTACCACTACCCTATTGCTGCTAAATTCAATCCAACATCGGCGATATTAGTTTCTAGGCTCAAAACAATCGAGTGTTGACACATGACGCGGGAAAGAGTAACATGTATCAGTAACGGAACTAAGGAAGGGTAAGTCAGCCTCGATCGTGTAATTCGCAAGGCGTCAATCAAGGTGTGACGAAACTTATAGACCACAAGGTACACAAGCCTATGTCTAGTTCCCATTGGCTCGAAAGCAGACTATCCTTGGAAGAGGCAACTCGATTAGACACAGGACAAGCATAACTACCTCTCTTCTCTCTAAGTTACTATGATTAGGTAGTCATAGAATATTACCGGTTTCCTCCGCGTTCGCTCTCGATCGAGGCGCTTTGTGCATGAGAGAGAGACACTAGTAGATAGCACGGTATAGCAAGGTTCACTCTAGAACTGAATATTCGTTTTTTCCTCTAGCAAGGAGGGTCACTACCTCAAGAACCAGGGCTGCATGTTTCCCCTCAATGCCGGTGCAGTCCGAAGAAATGCTATTGCTCCTTCGCACCGTCTAGTTTCACAGCATAGGTAAGGTAAGCACTAATGAATTCCTCGAGGATACAACGGTGGGATGGCTGAGCGTACAGCAGACACTCGTCAGATACATCGGCCTTTTCGTCCTATCAATGTACTGCTTTGGGGGACATCTTATGTCAGGGTATCATCACGGACGCCGCCCCTATGCAACCGCAAGCCAAGTGTACGCCATTTCTGCAAATGTTGAACCTCTGCTCAATTGGTTGGAGGCAATATAGCAGAATGCTGCACTTCCCCGAGAAATCATGCATTGCCTTATGGGCTACGTACTAACCTTTCTCACCACAAAGAAGTCGTCTTACGGCCTTCCCCAAGCCTCGTCGGCATCCACATGTCCCGGTTACTCTTTCGAAGATGCCGGTCAACATGACCTGCAGGTTGCTGCGAGAACGTCCGTGGTATTCAGAGAGCACACATGTATACTCAAGGTTTCATCATCTATGGAAGGAAATATCATATTACCCCTCCCGCTGCCATGCCTCGGGTTGCAAGCTTAGTGTGCAAACCTCAACGAGAACCACGGTCCAGAAGGCGAAAGCAAACGGTGGTAAACGCCATGATGGAGCTACCAGATAACCCTCCAAAGGTCGACATTAGGAAGGATATTTACGAGACACTCCCGAACACGGCAGAGTTACTAGACACCTGGGACACGATCAATGCCGACAAGATCGCAAACGATGTGGTATCGGGCCTCTCAAAGGCTCTTCAGCAGCGCCAGCACCATGCCATTGAAGCCCTCTTCGCCGAACCTTCCTGTCATTGGAAAGATACACTATCTTTCACAGCTCATATCAGAACTTTCAATGGCAAAGGTGTCATTGCATCGGCTTTACTGGAACTCTTCGCGCTTCGCGAGGCCCAGGGCTTCCAGTTTCAGAAGGCCCAGGTTCTGTCGGCTACCAGTGAACTTGTCAGTACAGGGAAACAACCTTCGGTCTCTTAGCCCGATGCTGATTTACCCTCCTCTAGAAATGGCTCGACTGCGAATTTGGCTTCATGACTGGTTCTCCCAAGGCTTCCTGTCGAGGAAAGATGATGCTTATTCCTAGCGGCGGCGACTCGGGCGACAGCGGATGGAAGATTTGGTCCATGAGTACATACCTTTCCGAGTACGAAGACTTCCCCGAGGATGAGGGTCTGCTCAGAGTGCCTTCGACTCCTGTAACGGATGACAGCCACATCTCTACGAGTGTGCTCGTTGTCGGTGGGGGCAACGGGTGAGTTCACAAGAGCCTCCTTAATCTCTTGCCTGCATTTAACAAACACTCTTGCAGAGGTCTGATCCTGGCCGCTCGATTGAAGGCTCTTGACATCGACTACGTCGTGATCGACCGGAATGCAAGGGTAGGGGATAATTGGGCGACAAGATACGACTGTATGCGTTTCCACGTCTACAAGTCATTCTGCGAGACACCGTACATTCGTAAGTAAGACCAAGCTCATGGAGGCAAACTTGGATCTCGTAGTTATTCAATCACCGTCGGACGTATCGGATGGGGATAGGAAGAGAAGGGGGCAAGATCGTAACCCTAACCCTGGGGTGATCCTAGCCGCTTCGTTGCCGCTTCCTTCCGCCAACAAGAGAACCTAACTCGATTTTCCTGGCCCTGGGGTGGTAGAAGAGCCCTTTCAACTTTACTAACAGTTTGGTGTAGCATATCCCCAGGCTTCCAATGACGGTCTCACACGAGACCAGCTAGCCGACCAAATGGTCGCTTTCGCAAAGGAATTCGACCTAGACCGCCGCGTTCTACACCGTACGACCATCGCCGCAACCCAATACGATCAAGAGGGCAAGACATGGAATATTGAGATACAGACGGGGGATCTAAGACGCACCCTATCCTGCAAATGCATGGTCCTCGCCACGGGCGGCGCCGGCTTCGCGGGACCCGCGCCCCTTCCAGATCTACCGGGCAGGAAATCCTTCAAAGGCCCCAACATGCACTCGGAATCGTATCGTAATGCTAGCGACCTAGTTGCAGCGGGGGCGAAGGTCAGTTCTGACAGAAGGCGTCACTTAGATCCGACAAATAGCTCTAGTCATTTTGCTAATGCCTTCCGTGCTTCGGGGTAGTCCGTGGCCGTTATCGGCTCTGGAAACACTGCATTCGATGTCTTGGTCGACTGCCACGATTCCGGTCTTAAGACGACCATGGTACAGCGATCAGAGACGTATGTCGTTCCCATGACGTACTTTGCTCACCCTATGGGCTTTGGGGTCTACGACATCCTGCCTCCCGACGACGCGGACGTGATTGTGAACGGAGGCCCTTTGGCCATCGGCGGGGCCCTCCTGGGCTTGGTGCATAGGATGCAGGCACAGGAAGAGCCGTACGTACAGCCCAAGAAATCGTAATCCTACCCTCTTGCTAACCATCACTACCTTATCCAGGGATCGATACGCGGAGGCTAGGAGGGTTGGGTTCCGCGTGCAAGACTCGCTGACTGGCGACCTGCTCGTGAACCTCATCGATCGTTGCGGAGGGCACTTTGTAGACATGGGCAGCGGCATGGAGCTCATCACGACGAGGAAGGTCGGTGTCCGGTCCGGGGTCGTGCCCAAGTCCTACACCGACAACAGTCTGGTGCTATCCGATGGTAGTAACCTGCAGGCAGATGCCATAGTCTGGTGCATTGGCTTCGGCAATGTAGATGGCCGAAAAAATCTCCCAGATACCCTGGGAATCGGAGCCGAGGACATTGCGGGACGGCTTGAGCCTACTTGGGGCGTGGACACCCAGGGCGAAATTCGTGGTCTTTGGAAGCGACACCCAGGAGTCGACAACCTCTGGATCTTTGCTGGTGGCACGGCTCAGCATCGGTGGTTTTCAAAGGTGATTGCTTTGCAGATTAAGGGAGTTCTCGAGGGGATCTTGCCGGACGCCTACAGGCGCACACCAGAGGCTCCTACTGGTAGAGATTGGGGGCGTGGAGATACACGGGCTCCAAACCTGTAGATGAATGAGTTAATCGGTAAGCCTAGTAATTTGCAATCAGAAATGGTACTGAATTCGAGTCCTGGTTCACAGACAAGGAACTTCTCTAGGCTTGTCTTGTCGATGCCTACCTAGGCTTCCACTCATCGAGCTGGACACCGTGTAAGTGCCGGCAAGCAGCGTTTAGGTTGAACTGTGGAGCCATGCAGTTCACGGCGCCAGTAGCATGAATGGGATTTATCTTTGCGATGTTGGTTCGAGTTGAGATGGCCTCAATCGACGTCATTGTCGGGAATGGGAATATGGGTATCTGCATTTCTCCATGTACGAAACATCTTATTCATGACGAAAGAGAGGAATCGGCCAAAGCGAGGACATGCAATTTGGCAGACAATGCCATGTGCGGGGACTGTGCTTCTCAGCCGTGCGAAGCTTAGTCACACGGCGTTTTAGCGGCCGTTTCCTGAGCGTTATCGGCTTATCGGGGACTTGGACCCTCGGCTCGAGTCACGTCACCCTCCCACCTGTTGCCGAAAGCCTCCAGTGCTTCCCTCAGAGTCTATTTGGATTGGAGATTGGGCCTCAACTGGATCTCTCAAACCTCCACTTTCTTCACCCGCGCCTGCCCCCGGAGTATCGCCCTCTGCGCCACCAGACGATATCCACAACCGCAGCAAATTCCGTATCTCCGTCACCACCCGAACCACTTCACGAGGAAAACACCGCAGCTTGGCCCCCCCTCTCTCAGCTGCTTTGATCTCAAACATGGTCCTCCTAGACATCTCGTAATCCTCTCTGCTACACCAAGCGCGCCCCGACCGATAACGAGCGGAGAGTTTTGCACCATGTCCCACCAAGGCTTTCCCAACGAAGATGCGGCCATCACCCATCTCGTACACAACCTCGTCGAGAATGCTGTGCGCTCCGTTGAGGAAGTCCCGATCCCTTTGACGCGTGAGTTGATGGAATTCACCCGGATCTAGCTCCGGGTCCAATTCGCTAACCTAGACAAACAGCACGAACTCCTACCCAGTGGCCTGTCGAAGAACTTGCGACCCGGGAGGCCCTGCGATACTCCATTAGCCCCAGTCACGTCAAGGACCTCCTCGACTTCTCCGCCCTCAACTATGTCGAAGAACCCGACGATAACCTACTTTGCCCAATCTGCAAGCTGCCCGTCATCACCCCGATCATTACGCCCTGCGATCATACCTTCTGTCTGGAATGCCTGAAGCGCCATGTCCACTCATCCGATACCTGTCCCATCGACCGGACGAGGTTCCGAGCCAGGGACTGCAAGACGTCGAGACTTTTGACGAATATCCTCGACAGCCTGGTAGTCGAATGCCCCAATACTGAGCGAGGATGCAGCGAAAAGATGAAGCGCGACGAGGTCGTCAAGCACACAATCAGTTGCCGATACACGCTGCACGACTGCCCCGAAAAAACATGTGATAAGAGGGTGGAGCAATGGTTGGCTGTGTCTGGCAAGTGCTGGCACTTTGAGCAGACGTGCGAATACTGCGAGGAGAAGATGGAAGCGGCGTCGATGGCCGACCACATCAACAAAGTGTGCCCGAAAAACACGACGGACTGTACCGAGTGTGGAGAGACAATCAAGCTTTCCGAGCTGGGCCAACACCGCGATGATCATTGCCCGGAAACCTCGGTCCCTTGCACATATCATGACTTTGGTTGCAAGCACGAGGCACTTCGCAAGACACTAGCGACTCACCAAGACGAGTGTATCTTCAGGGTGGTTGCTGTCGTTGGAGAAAAGGTCAAATCACAAGAGAAACAAATCGAAAAACTGCAGAAGCAGACGGAAGACCAGGAGCGACAAATCATGGCAATGAAGGACGAGCGTCGAGACTGTATCTCCTGGGACGACGTATTCAACCTCAACAACGTCCAAGGCGGACCAAAGTTCAAACCCACCGAGGCTGTCATGACTATTTACGAAGACATGGAACGTCGCATGGAGGAGCTCAAGAAAGAGTTTACAGACCTCGAGGGCCGCCAGACAGTGATGGTCCTGAACCAGGTCATGCCGATTAAGGATCAGATCACCGAGATCAGGAGCAACCTGGGCATTCTCAAGATGCACATGGCATGGCTCATGAACAAGAGCCGAGAGGAAGTCGAGCGCAGCCGGTTGGCCAACCGTAGCGTTGGTAGCACCAGCCGAACGAGGGGCAGCTCTGACAGCGACGGCGAGGCTACTACTCCGACTACATCTCGGCGGCTGAGTGATGGGTCAAATGGCATCCCCCGCCTTTGAGACATCTGCTCTGGACTGGGCTTTGGTATCCATTCTCCATCCTTGGGAATCTTTGCATATACAAGTGAGACCGAGAGCAATCTTGGATGGCTGCGAGGCGTGGATCCTGGCTGATGCAAGATATGAGCAAGAACAGATGTAACGCAGCCTCTGTTCTACGCACTCCACATCTTCACCCCGACCTAGATGGGCTCCGTACCTTCTCGAGACTTTAGTCTGACTGTACTACTAAAAGTGTTGATTTTACTGGCGTTGGGGACAAATGGGAACAAAGGAACGAAACGCGAAACGGAAAGGCACGGAAATACCCTTGTGATGGTCTGCGAGTTCAGCAAGACACCCAGTTACACAAAATTGGTCTCGTATCTAGTCTAATTGACACAAGGAGGCAGCTTTGCAATGCTCTCTGTACTATCCCACGTGTGAACTAACTTGTGCTCATCAACGTTCATCTTGACCAAAGCTCAAGGTTTTGGTTAGCCCTTCAAATGAAGCAAGCGCATTTACAGACCCCGTGTCCACATGTTTGGAGCAAAACTTAGAAGGGTGGTTTCGCAGGGTTCCATCGCCACACCAATGACGTAGGTTTCACTTCGTTCATCTGAAGCCTCAGTAGCTTCATATTGAGGGAGAAATTCATCAAAATAAGGGTCTTAGGGGTCTTCTGAACTCGATCGACCTTCGGTCAATAGCGCAAAGGCAGTCTGTACTAGCTTCCATCCTGTACTTTGTTGCTGTTCCTTTCGCAGCATCCCTGTATTACTGACTACATGAGGATATCTAGGAGCCTTTGATGCACAATATAAGTCATGAAATTCAGGCGGCCGGCAAAACACCAAAAAGCTTCAATTCATGAATCATTGATGCCTGCTCTGTACCTGTCGTGTCGAATCTCTTGGAACCAAAAACCTGAGGTGAGCAGGAAAGCCTAAGCTTAGTAATTGGCCCCCATCCCCACGGCGGCGGACTTTGAGATTCTTGGTGGGTCTTTCCGCTTATCGGAGTCGGACTTAACAGCCTCAGGGACTCATCCGTGGCACCTCACAGGCCCGCTGTCGCCCCACAGTGACCGCCTGCCTGGCTTGCTCCCCCACCAACCTGGCCGTTCGTACCTTGCGCTTGCCCACCGACGCACTTAGGTATAGTGCCTTCCTGACCTCAACTCGCGAGGCCCTGTACGTTAACGTCCAGCCAACCCACCTTCAATCCGGGGACTTCAACCTTGCACCTTTGCCAGCCTCGATAGAAACGGATTGCTTCACTACGACTGTCGCTTAAAAGCATCGATACTGCCTGCCATGGATCCAAACGAGGGCAACCAAGCGCCCGACGCGCCCGACGTCAAGAAGATGAACGATGTAAGAGCTGTCTGCCCCTCGTCCTCTCATCTTCCTCCTCCTAGTGCTCCTACTCTCGAACCTCGACGATTCCCACTCTGCCCTCACGCCTTCTCTAGAAGTCCGGTCTGGCACGAACTGCTTTCGCCGGTTGCTCTCGCCTCTCCGCCGTTCTACTAGACCTACGCACACTATGACATTACGGACAATTCAGCAGAGAACCCATTGTGGCGAGCGCAATCGACAAACATGTCACCCGGAACACATGAGGGCAACGGCTGTCGTGGACTCTGAGGTCATCATTTGATCTCATAGAAAACAATCTGACCAGTCTACCTAGATCCGACTTCGACGGCTCGCCAAGCTTGGCTCCTCGACAAGATCCCCCAAGCCGGAAGGAGAATCGTCAGCAGACGCCGAGACATCAAACTCCGCAACGAGCGAAGTCAAGGCTCCAAAGGCCCCGGCCAGCCCAGCACCCTCATCCACACCGAAGCCTGCCGCCTCGAATCCCTTCAATCAGCTTGGTGTCAAGTCCGGTAGTGGTACATCTTCGCCAGCTGCATCGAACAACACCGAGAGCAACAAGCGAATCGCCTCCGAACGCGCAGCCGCACCTGCTCCCGCAAAGAAGGCGAATGTGGAAGAGTCTTTGGACGATTTTTCAGATCGAATCCTCAGCCATATTTTCCGGATCACAGTCGACCCAGAGAGAGTTGTCGATACCCACGGACACAAGCTTACCTTCCTGCCGGAAGCTAGCCAAGAGCTCCAAGAGAGCGGATCGCCGCTCAAATTGACAACCTCCATCCTCGATAGCGCCTTGCTTGAGGCCGTCACTGCGATTCCCGCCGACAAGCCCCTTCTCGGCTATCTACTTCCCTCATTCAAGCGTATCATCCGGACAAACATTATCAAAGAGACGGCAGAGAAGAGGGAGGCTCTGGAGGAGGCAAAGAGACTGTGTGTTAGCAACGCTTTGTTTGCGCTCACGATACCGGATCTCTTTGGGTAAGTAGACCCATCCTGTGCATTACAATCGCTTACAGGTGGTACTAGACGATCACGGCCCGAGAGTTTGGTCACCTACCTGCTCAAAGGACATGAGCAGGACGATGGAGTCTGCCTGGACTTCTTGCGGGAGGCAGTAAAGCGCTTTCCCGAGGATGAGCAATTCCCAGCTGCTTTTGCCACAGCCATGCACTCACTCAGCGTTAAGTTGTCGACTTTGTCCATGGAAGATGACTACAAGCCGTACATCAGCGTGAGTTTTTCTTAGCGACGCCAATTTGCCTATCTCTCAGCCGTTGCCCCAGTCTTTGGAATAAAACAGAACTAACCCATGGACAGGCCTTGATGTCCTACACAAAGTTCCCTCCTCTGCTGAATGCACTGGCACAACATCCCAACTTCATGACCGCTCACAAGCTGGGATCCCACGTTGAAAAGGAGACGATTCTGGGACCCTTCTTCCGCATCTCCCCCTTGCAAACAGAGGTGACAATGACATACTTCCCGAACCCGCGGGCCCTGAACCGCACTCAGGCTGCCCCATCCCAAGATGCTCTACGGGCTATTCTTCGGGTCCATCAGGACGAGCTCTTCACGATCGCTAATGCCTTTATCCGAGCTGACACTGACACCCGGAGCCGGGTACTCGACTGGTTCGCCTCCGCTATCAACGGCAACCACAAGCGTAGAGCTCTCCAGGTTGACCCCAAAGAGGTGTCCTCAGATGGCTTCATGATGAACCTCACTGTCGTATTGGACCGATTCTGCTCTCCCTTCATGGACACAACGTTCTCAAAGGTCGACAGGATCGAAGTGGAGTATTTCCGCCGCAACCCCCGCGTGGACATCAAGGAAGAGACCAAGCTCAATGCCGACCAGTCGACGTCAGATGCATTCTACGGCACTCAATCTCAGGGTAGCTCGAACTTCATTTCAGAGGTTTTTTTCTTGACTTTGGCTGCGCACCACTACGGCAGCGAGGCAACAAACTCGAAGCTCAAGGGTCTCGAAAGGGATATCAAGTGGTACGAAAAGCATTTGGCTGCCATGGAAGCTGAGAGGATTAAAGTCCAGAACCAGCCACAGCAGCTTGCAATGTTCGAGTTGACACTCAAACGCCACACTACGGTCTTGGAGAAGGCGATCGCAATGAAGTACGCGATCGAGGGAATCTTCCTTGACGAGAAGATGCAAGAACTGTCTCTTCGCTTCATGCGATACGTGGCCGTGTGGCTTCTTCGCCTTGCTAGCCAGTCTAGCTACACCCCCGACAAGGATCTTCAACTTCCCCTTCCTGCTCAGGCCCCTGAGGCTTTTGCGTGCCTGCCAGAGTATGCGCTCCAGGATGTGGTCGACAACTTCAAGTTTGTGTACCGCTACCTTCCTCAAATCATGCCGTCTGCTGTTGGCAGCGAGATGATTGCGCTCTGCATCGCCTTCTTGCGTTCGTCAGAGTACATCAAGAACCCGTACCTCAAGTCGTCCTTGGTCACATTGCTCTTCTCCGGCACCTGGCCATTCTCGCACTTTAAGAAGGGTGTCTTGGGAGATCAGCTCTACGGATCCAAGTTTGCAAACGATAACCTGTTGCATGCCCTCATGAAATTCTATATCGAAGCGGAGTCGACTGGTGTTAACACCCAGTTCTACGACAAGTTCAACATCAGATATGAGATCTTCCAGGTTATCAAGTGCGTTTGGGGCAATGATGTCTACAAGCAGCAGTTGACGAGAGAGAGCAAGTAAGTTTTATCTGTTTCAGCTTCTAGCAAGGGTGCGGTATGGGTGACTAACAACTCGCAGGGTTAACAGACAATTCTTTGTTCAGTTCGTCAACTTGCTGCTCAATGATGCGACCTACGTGCTTGACGAGGCACTGACAAAGTTCCCCAGGATCCATACGTTACAACAGGAGTTGGAGTTTGGCAACACGCTATCCACGCAAGATAGAGAGAAGAAGCAAGAGGAGTTGTCAACATTGGAGAGCCAGGCGGGCTCGTACATGCAGCTGGCCAATGAGACGCTGGCGATGATGAAGCTCTTCACATCTGCATTGACATCAGCGTTTACAATGCCTGAGATTGTCCAGCGTCTGGCAAGCATGCTTAACTACAACCTGGAGACTCTTGCGGGACCCAAGATGGGTCAGCTCAAGGTGAACAACCCAACCAAATATCACTTCCAGCCGAGGGTTCTGCTGTCAGACTTCATCGACATCTACCTCAACTTGGGCTCGTCGCAAGCGTTCATCGACGCTGTTGCCTCGGATGGTCGCTCGTATAAGCCAGAGGTCTTTGACAAGGCTAGATTCATTCTCTCGAAGCGCAGTATGAAGGAGGCCGTTGAACTCGAGCAGCTCGACACGTTGATGGCCAAGTTCCTCGAGTCGAAGCAGATTGCGGACCAGGCCGAGCTGGATCTTGGAGACATCCCGGCCGAATTCGAAGACCCGATTATGGGAGATTTGATGAAGGATCCCGTCATCCTGCCATCGAAGCATATTGTTGATCGGGGAACTATCGTGCAGCACTTGCTGTCGGATCCCAAGGATCCCTTTACGCGACAGCCGATGACGGTGGATGATGCCATCCCGCACACTGAGCTGAAGGAGAAGATCCAGAAGTGGAGAGAAGAGAAGATTGCGGCGGCCAAGGCCAGGGCAACGGGCGGCGATGCGATGGATACAACGGAAGGCTGATGAACGGGACACGGCACTATGATCAGGACTGGAAGACAAAGGGGCATTGGGATTCTCGTTGATTAGACGTTCAGGTCCTCCCCAAGGACGGGGACACAGACAGGCACAGGCAGATGGTAGGCCTGGGATAGACGCATAGCACGTCTCTGGAAAGCGAACGCTGAGAATGAAAGCGTCTGATGCAGCGGACAGCATAGGCTTAGATGCAGCGAGACATCAGGTATTTGTGACAGCGAAAGAGAATTGGCTCTCGAATCAGGCAGAACTCCTGGAGCCCAAAGTGATGTTCAGCATGCGACCGAAACTGCAGATGAATAGCCCAGACACCTTAGGCCAACTCGGCGTTGCCGGAAGCTGAAGACGAAGCAGAATTCGAGGGTGAGAAGAGCATACGGAGGAATTGAAGCCGTGCAGGGCGGGCCGAAAGGTCAATTTTGGGTCAACATGAGATCCAGGACTTGCCTCACCGGGGATGAGGGTATTACGAAGAAGTTAAAGAGAGGCGAGAATGATGTGTTGTACAGGTTGCTGTATTAGGGCACGTTTGCTGACCGGGTTCGGGGTGTCCTTCACCGAGATTACGAGAGGCGAAGTTTTGGAGTAAGGTAGCAAGCAGCTGGGTAAATCGTGAAGAGAGATTGAGGGATTACGGATTACGGATGTGGGAAAAAAACAAAAGTCGAACCACTCGTGCCACTGTCGGATGGCGGCTGTCGTGTCCGGGGGTGGGTGAAGCTCAGCCACAGGGGAAATCGGGAGACGTGGGAGAGTGAGGCGGTGATGATGATCCATGGGCCGTGGGGGTGTTGTTCCTTAGTGGATACGGGGAGTTTCTTCATTCGGACTATCAATCAGCAGGTCATTTTCGGTCTGGAACTTTTTTTTTGGATGATGGTTTCTTGGCGGCTCGGTGTTTCTGGGGACTGGGTTTCTTGGGCGAGGAAATGAAATGGCATGTTGTCTTTCTCCCCGATGCTGGTATTGATGTTCCGTGGGTGAAATTTGGCTGAGGTGATTTAGGGATGACAGGTGGTCATGATGTCATTGAGCAACTGAGGGAAAATATCCGTCCTCCGTAGCGAGAGCGGTGTTGATATTCCCCCGTCTAGCTTAGGTACTCCGTACGTACTGAGGTGTCTGTTTACCCGTTCCATCCTTGGCCTTTTTTGTGCTTTCGCGTAGCTATGCTCCTTTCTCTTATTCGTTTTTGCTCTTGTACTGCATTGAATTGTTTTACTTGAAGGTTCAGCAAAATGATTAGACTGCCGTAACGCCGTTGGGGTCCAGGGCTGTGTTACGGTGCTAGGCATTGATATCCGAGCCGATTTACCCAGTGTCCACCAGTCCCCCGGTGTTTCCAATATCTCCAATCACTGCCGTGAAACAACCAACGCATGAGTAAGCTGAAAGACCATCGACGGGATCTCGTCGATGAAGCGGATGACAGTGGAGAGTGAGAGAATTGTAGCGGGCAATGGATGGATGTGCTCCAAGGTTCAGGTTCGTTTGGACTCTGGACTTCTGGATGGAGACCAGGGAGGGACCGCCCGCTGTGGCGGGAAGAACGGCACGGCTGACGATTGGGCGAAACGTGGGGCGCGCGTTGAAAAGACGTGGAGGTGCGCTGGACCAGTGCCCGTAGGTGTGTTGCTGGTTCGAAGCTGGTGTGGGCCACCCGAAATGTCACCCGTGCCAAGCTTTGGGCGTAGCGTCGTTTTTGGGACTTGGGGATCCTTGGACACGCATGTGTGTGTGTGTCTGCTGTGACGCCTCGGGAGCCGAGACATGGGGAAAGGTATCGTAGACTGTTGCGTAGGAAGGATGAGAGACGTGGAAGAGCGAGAGAGTGAATAGGAGTAAACGGAGATGAAGGGAGGCCGCCCTCGTACCGACCTGACCTCGATCCGGAGACCTTGGGCGCAGCTTCATATGGAAAACACGTGCTTTTGGCAAGAGAGTGGTCGCGGCAACATTCCAAAGTCATCCCGTTTCTGTTGGTACTGTAAGGTATTAGGATCCCAACTTCTTTTCTTAGCTGGAGCTGATTTGCGGATATTTTTTCCTGCGCCCCTTTTTGCCCGAGTCTCTGTTTACGTAGGTTTTCTCGGAGGTTTCCCTGGATGGCCCCGGGGAAGAAGGTGACGGCAAATCGTCCCATCCTATCCGTACCTTTACAACTAATTAGATTCTTCACCGATCAGGGGGGGAGGCCAGCGGTTAAACGTGTCTCGACTAAGCAAACTTGCAACTCTCTCTCGACACTGCAAGTACGGAGTACGCTACGCATGCGAGGTGAGGTACTGGAGGCGGCATGTACCGGGTTTACTCTCGAGTACCTGCCAAGGACTCTGTCAATGATGTAGCTGCACCTTATGTAAGGCAGTACGTACCATTCTACACCGTCTTGTGCCCCGCCATCCGTGCCGGCTTCAGGGCACCCCAAGTCGCGCGTCACGGTGTCACCCCACTTGCATCTGCCATTGGCCTTGGCCCTCTCTCTTTCGGTCTCTCTTCCCAGAGCTTCCCATTGCAGGTCTCCATATCCGGTTCTCTCGGCTTTTCTCCCTCAACGATCCATTGGGCTGGAACTTGAATGAGGTGGCCGGAATGGGCCATGGAATCGGGGAGGATGTAGCTGTAACTGTAGCTGTCAAGTCTCTTGGACATGGTCCCAGCTCTGCCGTGCACCCCGCCAGGAATGTACTCCAAAAGGTACCTTAATGTAAGTTCAAGCTGCTTAGCTACCTTCATTTAGCACCCAAGTGTACCTAAGGTAGATAGGTAAGGTAGGTAGCTAAGGTCGGGTAGCTTCCTTGGTCCCGGTTCCAGTTCCAGTTCCAGCTCCTTGCCTTAGACATGCAGGTGCAGCTGCAGATGCAAGCGCAGTGCCACGGCCGCCCTCCCAGCTCCGCTTGTTGCTTCCATGGCTTGGCCCTGTGAATGCCCCTCCTCCTCCTCCTCCTGTTCTCTTTCTTCTCCTTCTTTCCCCTCGCTCCAATTCCCAGATTCTCCCGTCTTGCTTCTCTTCAACCTGCCCATACGCTTCATTTCCGTCTCTAGGTCCAGCTCTAGCTCAAGCTTCAGCTCCAGTAAAAGATCAACGGTCTCGACTTCATATAAACATACTTCTCCGTCCGCTTCCCACCACGCTCAAAGCTCCCTTTCTCTCCTCGCACCACAGCTTTCTCACTCCAGCACCCTCCACTACTTCTTCACTTCAAAATGGTTCACCTCACAACCGTCAACACACCCCCGGACTCTGGCTCTGCCTCCGGCGCCGAGGACTCGTCCGCCACCAGCCTCCGCCAGGTCCAGCAGCAGCTCAAGAAAGTCCAGCTCCAGCTCGCCGACCACGATGACTGCTACACCACGAGCGTCTACGGCTCTCGCTTCGCCAATCAGGATCTCCCCAAGAGCGAGATGCCCGAGAGCGAAATGCCCAAGGAGGTCGCCTACCGCATGATCAAAGACGAGCTCAGTCTCGACGGTAACCCGATGCTCAAGTAGGCCTCTCCTTTGGTCATATGCGGGAATCTCTTGTCATTTCTGACCATCATTAACCCCCGTCTTCACAGCCTGGCTTCCTTTGTGACGACTTACATGGTGAGTAAACACTTGACGAATCCAACAACTGCAGTGACATTCCGAGCTAACACCCCACACCAGGAAGAAGAAGCCGAGAAGCTCATGGTAAATCCTCACCAACACCCTCCCCACGCACCGCATACACGAAGTCACATTCCAAAATCTAACAATGGTATTCCCACGAACAGGCCGAGAGCTTCAGCAAGAACTTCATCGACTACGAAGAATATCCCGCCTCAGCAGACATCCAGAACCGCTGCGTCTCCATGATTGGCAAGCTCTTCCACGCCGACGTTGGCGCGGGCGAAGGCGTTGGCGCTGTCGGCACCTCGTGCGTCGGCTCCTCCGAGGCCATCATGCTCGCCGTCCTCGCCATGAAGAAGCGCTGGAAGAACAAGCGTCAGGCCGAGGGCAAGTCCACTGAGCACCCCAACATTGTCATGTCCTCCGCCGTCCAGGTCTGCTGGGAGAAGGCCGCCCGCTACTTCGAGGTCGAGGAGAAGCTCGTCTACTGCGCGCCCGATCGCTACGTCATTGACCCCAAGGAGACGGTCGACCTTATTGACGAGAATACCATCGGTATCTGCGCCATCCTGGGTACCACGTACACGGGCGAGTACGAGGACGTCAAGGCTGTCAATGACTTGCTGATTGAGAAGAACCTCGATGTGCCTATCCACGTTGATGCCGCCAGCGGAGGTTTCGTCGCCCCCTTTGTCGTTCCTGATCTTGAGTGGGATTTCCGCCTCAAGAATGTCGTCTCTATCAATGTCTCCGGTCACAAGGTAATTTCTATCTCGTGCTTCAATCACCGAGTCTCAAACTTCTTGGTTCACTCACTTACACACAAACTACAGTACGGCCTCGTCTATCCCGGTGTCGGCTGGGTTGTCTGGCGCTCTGCCGAGTTCCTCCCCCAGGAACTCGTCTTCAACATTAACTACCTCGGCGCAGACCAGGCCTCCTTCACCCTCAACTTCTCAAAGGGCGCCTCACAGGTTATTGGTCAATACTACCAGCTCATTCGTCTCGGCAAGAAGGGCTACCGCGCCATCATGTCAAACCTCACCCGCACCGCAGACTACCTCTCCCAGTCCCTCGAGGTCCTCGGCTTCCGTATCATGTCCAAGCGCTCCGGCGAGGGCCTCCCCCTTGTCGCCTTCCGCCTCCCCGAAGTCCCTGCCGGCGCCGAGGGTGAGCCGGGCGTCCGCCACTACGACGAGTTTGCGCTCGCCCACCAGCTCCGTGTCCGTGGCTGGGTTGTGCCCGCTTACACCATGGCGCCCAAGACCGACGACCTCAAGATGCTCCGCGTCGTTGTCCGCGAGGACTTTTCCAAATCACGCTGCGACGCCCTCATCACCGATATCAAGCTCTGCATGGGCCTGCTCGAGCAGATGGACCAGGACGGTGTCAAGAGGCAACAAGAGTACATCAACAAGCACCACCTCACCAGCTCGAAGTCAACCCACAACCATCCAAAGTTCAGAGTTTGTCCCCAAACCCCCCGGGTCCCGCGCGAACCCACCCAGAATGAGATTTCACTAACCATGCTGTGCTTGAACAGAAGGAAAAGCATTCCCTACAGGGTAAGACTGGCAAAACGCATGCCATCTGCTAAGCCCTTCCGCGGTTGTTGTCATAAAGACGCAAACTACTTACGGCACGAAATAAACGACTGACACGACGCATACGACGGCTTCACTGGCGCGGCGGTGGCGGCGGCAAGTACGACGGCTTTAGGCCGGGCAAGGTTTGGGTAGCGTAGGCTGGCGGGGATATATACTTCACGAGAGGATAGGAACGGTACTACTTTTTCTGGCACCTGTATTTTGCTCAAGAGGTTTGTAGAGGAGAAAAGAATACACCAGTCATTGGATCTACTTTGAATGGCCATCAACTGAGCGACCATGTCTCTGTGACCAATTGATCTCAGGGCAAGTCAAACTTCAACTTCATCCGGTTCTCCTGCACCGTCTTCTCCAAAACCCCACCGTCATCGGCATAATGCGCCAAATTCAGCGCCAAATCCGCCCACGTATTGCACTCGTCGTCCTGTCGGACATTGTAAGCGTCCACTGCCTGGTTAAAGCCCACGGTGACAAGCCACTCGAGCTCTTCGGCCGGGAAAGGATGCTGGCTCTATTTCCAGTGAGATCGCTATCAGTATTTTTACCTGACGAAACGTGCCGAACAACAGCGAACGGGGGGAGAAGGGTTGCACAGCAGAGGAAATGCAAACGCACCTTGCGAGAATCCCTCGCCACGTCGACGGCCTGCTTCATCAGCCTCTGCCCCAGCGCCGCATCGAGCGGTAATACGGCGTGGAACATGCACCGGATGTACTTTGCCAGTCTGTCGCCCTTCATCTTCTCGAGCTCCTAGATCTCGTTCACGATGACGCCTAGTGTGGAATAGAGAGCTGCGAGCAGTGGAAACACAGCACTTGGTAAGCAACGGTCTCCTCGTAGCCATCTATAATGGAAAACAGTAGGTGGCAGGTTAGGTTGCGTACCTTGTCCAGGCAGTTTGCCTCGCAGCGCAATGTCCCCCATCGCCTTGAGCGTATTCACATCCCGACACGTGACGGCCGTACGGATGATGAACCCCAGCTCATCAGTCTTCTTCAATGCTATGGCAGCCTCAAAATCAAACACCATCAACGTCGCAAGCTTGGCCGTTAGATCGCTCTTCAGCCTCGTATCCAGACCATCGCTCATCTGCTTCTCCAGAGCTGCATTGTACGCCACGACGTGCCTCCGCATGACGAGATAATGCTGTAGCTGCTGCTCGACGTTGTCTTCCGTCCGGGCGAGCGATATGAGAGCAGCGGCAGCGATGAAGTCGCAAAACATTGTCCTGAGCGCGAGGTCACTCGCAGCTTCGGCAGGAAGATCCTCTGGATAATGCTTCGCGATAGTGAGGCAGCTGTTGTAAAGCCGGATAAGATGCTTTACGTCCCAGTTGTCCGAGTGCTTGAGGCCAAGGTTATACGCGTTCTGGCAGAACCAGTCCAGTTCCTTGACGGTGAACAGCCGGTTGCCGTCCTTGTCCGTGGGGCCTCGCTGGATTGCCTCGACAGCTAAAGACGACTTGATCAGCCTGTGATAGAAACCGATGAATGACACTTTCTCACCTCCTTCAAAAAGCACAAGAATTTCTTCAACTGCACTCTGCCGCTCCCTAGCCCCCTTTTCGCTCTCAACAACCGAGACAGCGAGTCGGATATTACACCGCAACAGTGCAGGCAAATGAATTGGAGACCCCTCGCTGAATTCAAACTTCTCCACCAGCTGCTTCATAGCCTGCATCGCGCAGACCCTATCCCCAGCCTGCTGCGCCTCGAGAACACAAGCATAAAGAAAGTTAGGGTCTCCTGCTGCTGAAAGAGCCACACGTTCCAGACACTGAGCGGCCAACTCTTGATCGGATGAGCGAAGGGCAGCCTTGTACATCAAGTACCTCGTCATTGGTTCGTTTTGCGCTGCTTCAGACATGCTATGAAAGACTTGCCGCGCCATCTCGGCGTCGTTTCTCCCAAGGGCACATAGAATGAGCTTTCTACGGTCGTCAGTGTACGTAGCTTGCGACTCCTGTGAAGATACGCACCTGCCAAGTCTCGACATATTCGCAGGACCGCCATTTTGAAACAGAGGCTGCAGGGCTATCTGGCACCAGCCATCTGCGAAGTCGAAGTGCCCCTGATTGTAGTTGGCCTCGATCTTTTTCCAAATAAGCTGCACCAATATCAGCATCCCTTGTTTTCCATCTTTCCCGGATTAAGCTCACAGTCAAAGCTCCGACTGCCGTAGAAGCCCCGAAAGGCTTACTCAAGTTATCTTGGAGGCCCGTCAGAACTCCCATCAGTCCTTCTATGGCCCTCATACCATCTCTTTGTGTTGTTTCCATCCATATTCTTAACAGCACCAGTCTCTCGACCCACTCTTCGCGCCCAGAAGAGACAATGGTGCCCCTGAGCATCCCGTCCACGACGCTCGTCGCCAGTGTTGGGCTCTTGTCATGTAGCTTTCGCGCATGATGAACCAAGAGCTTGAAGTGCGCTTCGGAGAAGTTGAATGACCGGACCATCCGCCTCAAAATATCAGCATAGGCCTCGATGTCAAAGACCTCGGCCGGCGCCTTTTGCAAGAGCTCCAAGCGAAGGAGGAGGACAACAGGTTTCTCGCCAATCTCGGACTCGATGTAACTGACAAGGTCAAGCGCCTTTTCCGAGGACTCTGGCGTGTCGAGGCCCAGAAGCGCGTGGATCAGGGCTTGGCAAACGGAGAGGCGCAGCTCGATGGCGTCGCGGGAGAGAAGCGACAGGTCCTGGGCGTTGATGATGTCGTACCCTCGTTCGAGCCATCGCACCGCCATGCCGAAGTCTTCCTTCTTGGAGAGGTCTTTGCCTATCTCGAACAAGATCTCTGTCATTTTCTCGGCCGAACTAGGATCGAGCGCATTCGGCTGGAGGTGTCCTTTGCTGTACATGAACTCCATGACGGGAAAGTTATCCGTTTTCCAGGCCTATTTTCCACGGTCAGCTGGGTGATCAGCTGTGTCGTCAGATCCAAGAGCGGACTTGCTAGTGCCGCTCGGAGTATAAAGTATTCAGCGTCCAACTTTTTGCATTCTTTCAAATCATCCGGTCCCAACATTTTGGCCTGTAGCTGACCCAATGTCGCGCTGTATTCCGCCCCCTTCTCAAATACAGTCTCAGCGAGCTTCAGAGCACTCGAACTGGTACTGCCGTCATCTATGCGCAGTGTAAGTAGCTTCCTCCTCGTCCCGAATGTCCCGCCAAACCCTCCACTTACCGAGGCACGTCTTGCCTGCTTTGAGCGCCAACTTCATTACATGCACCACATCCGCAAGCTGCGGCTCAGCACCGCCAGAAACACCCCTCGCGACGCTTATCATGAAAAAGGCATACGTCCTACTCCGCAACAGAAGCTTCTTCCTCGCAGCCGGTGCTGCCGCCGCCCCGCCTACATTATCACGGCGTTGTCGGGTACACAGGTTCCAAAGCTCCGTTCCCCTCTTGTCGAGTTCCACCCTCTGGGATTTCGCTCTTGGGCTACCAGAGAAACGGATAATCGTCTCGAGCTTGGGGTTCAGCTCCGCGAGCAGGGCGTCGATGGAGAGGGTATCGTTTGCGGAGGGGAGACGCGTCGAGAGGGCCTGAGAGAATGCTTTCAGACTACGGGTCAGCTTGCAGACCACCAAAGCTTCATCTGCGGGATGCTACGGACTTGCGAAGGAGTTGATCTTGTCAATGGTGTTGTTGCTCTTGGGCGACTTTGCGCACCGTTGATGGGGCATTGTGCTTGACGAGGGCAGACTGGGGAGGTCGAGATCATGCGAACCAGGTGAGTACTTCGTGCAGAGCAAGTTGAGAGCCAAGAGCGAGCGACGGGTGCATTACGTTGACGGCACTTCACTGCCTTCAGGAAAAAGCGAAGAGGTTGAGGAAGACCCGAAGTTGGCACGGTTCGAAGGTGGCAAGTACCGAGTCGTTCGCGGCAGGCATAAATCTCGTATGCGCCTTCCTCGAAAGCACCTGTATCCGGACGCGGAGTTACTCTCCCCCGACAAACTTCTGACCCGGACCGGAAAGAACAGAACCTGAAGGACATGATGGGAAGCAATGACTTGAGGCTTCGAACAAAAAAATAAGGATATACTAGACAAGCCTGTTATGTACTGGCGGTGGTCCTTTCCTCCCGCCTATGCAAAAGAGCGTTCAAAAATGCAACCGAACCGGAGAATGCTCTGGTATCCAATGACGCCTGCCCCCTTTGATTTTGTGTTTCCAAACCCCCCAAACCAAGGTGTTCCAAGAAGTCCCCTTGCAATGCAAATGATTACGGCCGGGCTGGATCGTTGGGCAAAAAGTTACCTACGATGAGCGTAGGGCTGTCTACTTGTCAGCTTCAAAAGGCTCGAGACTAGGTAGTGGCTGGGCAGATACCAACATTTTGTGATTATCTCGTTGAATCATAAATGAGAAGCAGCAATGAACCACTGGGTCTGTCGCCTTGTCGTCGGGGTTCTTTAGTGTGCAGGCTGTAAGTAACGTATCGTGAGCGGGATCGAAGGCGATGGTTCCAAACTCTTCCCAGTATCGCACGAGAGACTCTTCCGTCAGAATTTCGTGAAGTGAGATTTTGCCCTATGATCTGGTTAGTTGCAACATGACCTGGTTGAAACGACCACAACACGTACGTCGCGGAGGTTCTCCACAGGCACGTGGAGAAGTTCCGCCATCTCATTATTGCCTCTGAAGATCTCTCCAGTTCTCCGCCAACAACACGCTGGCACCGCCATACTGGCAAATACACGGTCGTACTCCATGAGCTGTTTCTCGAACCACATTTCCACGTAAAGCAGTTCCATATCCGTCAGAGCTTGCGCCTTTTCGCGGAACTTGGGTCGGAATCGATCAATCGTTCGCAGAATCTTTTGTTTCGATGATGCAGCGATGTGGCCATCCAGATACGTGCCCAGTCGCGCGTAGCCCTTGACATAGTTGAAAGGCTTCAGCAGACCGGCCTCGTACTTGGCCTTCAATACACGGTCCATGCGCTCTTCAGGCGTGTCGTTTCCTGAAGGATCGGCCGCCTGGAGGTAGTATTCACGCGCCTTGTCTTTATCGCCCTGAACGATGCTGCCTGGCCGTGATATCGCCTTGCCCTGCTCCAGGTTCTGTGGAGGCAGCATCTGCGAAAGCGCATTGTTGCCATTGCCAGTACCGGCCCGGTTATTCCCATTATGGTTTCCAAAAGTCGGCAGCATGTCGTTGGCGCCCGCGGTCCTGCTGAAGGCGGGGCTGTTTTGGGACTCGTCGGAGACGATGCCGCCGTCATCCAGTAAGCTCGTCTGCAGAAAGTCATTCAACAGGTTGAACTCGTGCGTAACTTCGGGGGCGATCAAGTAGTTGTTGGGGTGATAGCTTTGCATGTCGTGGTAGTGGTTCTGGGCCGTCAACCAAGCATCGGAGAATCCAGCAACTGTTCGGCCGGAGCGCATCACGTTAGCTTGCGAGTCTCTCTCAAGCTGAGGCTGCTAAATATCCTTCTGTACTCCCTAGAAAGCGTAGACGCGTGCAAAAAGAACAAGGAGCCCCCAAGTACGAACAGCATGGCACTTTGAAAAAGGGGGAGAACAAGCCCGCGGATGAAGACCTACATTGGTTCATATTACTGCCGTTTCCCGCCATGCCGGTGCCTGCTCCCGGTGACACGAGGTGCAGCGGGTTCCCCTGGCCCAGTACAGCGGCGCCAAAAGCAGACGCCTTGCGGTCGAAAGGGGGCGGCGGGCCCATGGAGCCGGTCGCAGATTGGTCGATGGAGCTTCTCGTGAGCTCGGATTGCGTCGTCTCGGACTCATCGACAGCGGATGGCGCGTGAGAGCTCTTGGCTTTTTTGGAATCGGCGTCGCGGGGCTCATCGTGGCAGAGGTGGCCAATATTGCGTTTGATGCATCTTGTACACGGTCGTTCCTAGGCACGACATGTCAGCGGGTGTGGTACGAGCCAAAGAAACGGCATGCGCGTGCTCGCGCCCGCGCAGGGCTTCCAGGAAGCCGAGTGGACAGCGCGGGGAGACAGAGATAAACGGACGCCTCGGCAAGGCTACCCGTCATGTGTCAAGGTTGTGTGAAGAAAGAGATCTTACATACGAGATCGCATGTCATATGCTATAGAGCAGGCAAGACACTATCCGTCAGCCATCTTTTCTCTTTCCCGCTTATTGTTTATTCAGGCCCTGCAGGTTTCCTCCTGCAGGGAGACGAAGTTGCGCGTATATGCAGGCAGGGGCTTCGGTGGTTGGCAGAGTCATCGCACGGCAGCAATCGCAGAGACATGATAGCGTCAACGCCATGCGCGGAGCCGGGGAAGCAATGCCAGTTATGCTGTTTGGGTAAGGGCTATCTGACTTACAGATCGCCGGCAGTAGACGCAAGCTGAGAGGGCACATGACATTAGCTGGTGCTTCCGCACGACCTGCGGCACTGAGAGAGTCGTTGCAGCAGCTACAATCGCAGTCTCGAGGGAGCCCGCGGACACAGCGCGCGGCTGTACAAGGGGTTCAACATACCGTGGTTGACCTTGCGGCGTTTCTTGGGGCTCTTGGCCGAGTGAGCATGGCCACCATTGTTCTCGGTCTTGTCGCGCTTTTCCTTGTCGTCTTGCGCTTCAGACTTTACGTCTTTGCCGTTCTCTGGCATGGCGAGAGACCCAGGCTGGGTGACGGCAGCGGTTATGGGTGGTGGCGGTAGTGGTAGTGGTAGTGGTGGTGGAGGGCGGGCTCGGAATCAGTTCAATGGGGCAGCGGCTCCCATTGGACCTCAAAGGTTACGCAGTAGACGAGGGTTCGTAGATCATTTGACACCGGGGGTGAATGATGCAAATCGTCCGCCGTGTGCTCTCGAGGGTTTGCGCAAAAGATTGGGCGTGGCGGGTTTCTGCAGACGGAGTGGTAGGGAAAACGAGGTTGTCGCGTGCGGGTAGCCGGCGGGCTGAGTTCGGCTATGGTTGCTTTGCTTTGCTTGCTTTCGGGTTTGTCCCGCCTTGCAGTTCTCGAGTTGGACACGGATTGCAAGGGATCCGTTGGAAACTGCCGATCCTCCTTTCCAAGTTCCTAGTCCTCGTCCTCCTCGTGCGTTCGTTCGCCTCGGGTCCGGGGATCGTGGGATCGTGGGCGTTTTCGAGCGTGGTCGCAAGTTGTGGTGTAGGTGTAGGTGTTGGTGTTTTGGTGGTGGTGGCTTTGGACAGTCGCATGGAGAAGAAGAAAAAATGGGTGCGGGCTTTTGGCGCAATGAGCAAATGATGATCGGTCCCAAGGGAATGGGATGGGAGCTGAACCAGGCGAGCCAGGCGAGAGGGAACCAACCTGGTACCTTGGCTGAAAGCTTCGCAGAAAAGGAAAAGGAAAAAAGCGACAACGGGCAGGCGGCGTATCCGTACCCAATTGCCATGGGAAGTGGGTTAGCTAATTGAGCACCCGGCATTCCTTCCCACCCACTTCAACACATTAGCCTTTGGGACGAGCCCAGGACAGGCAAGATCGATGTTGTTGTGTTCCTGGTAGTGGAAAGTACCTGACCCAAGCGGGGGATGCTACTTCGTCATCTCACTCAACCTTCACTCACTCTCACTCATATACATACTTTACATACGATTTCACTCATCAACCTCAATCGTGAGAAACCACTTCAATACACTCCGAGAGTCTGAAAGCCATAATCTTATTAGTAAATCGCGACTCAAGGCACAGTATCCAAGGCTGGGCGCAGCTGGACAGGAGTGGGTTACAACCAGTAATCGTCATGTAATGAGGTATCCCCCTCACCCAGCCGGTCGGACGTCGCCCGATGAGACGACCAAATTGAGAGCAAGAGAGTCGCAGAGAGAAGCGGTAGGAAACAGAATGTGATTTGATTTCCCCGCCTTCTCCTTCATCCCGACTTGTCACCTTTTACCTCGGTGAAGGCCTCATCACGCACATTTCACACTCGGTGACATTCTACGAAAAGGTACCTCGGTCAATCATCTGCCAATTCAAAGCAATGATATCACACCAGCACGCATGGCACAGACATTGCTAGAGGAACCCACCCGTCAATGCAGCTTCCCTTCTGCCCTACGAGCTATCTTTAGTCGTTGTTCCCGAAATCCCCTGGGCAGCTCCATCACCACCGTCGCATCAAACCAAACGGTACATTCTTGGCTCTCGAAAATGTTAGGGACAAGGAGCAAACCAAGTGGTCCTTCGTCCCATCTTCCACTGACTGCAACAATTCAGCCAGTATTACTAGTGTACCTAGTCAATGTGCGCTCCAACGGCAGCGAAGCAGAATGGAAAAAGCCCAACGGCTGAGAATTAGTATTCTCCAGTCGCCTGCAGCATGCAATGTAATGTAAGCATGAAACCACAGCCCGCCATTCGGCAGGTGGTTTTCTGCTTCGCTCTCTCGCACTCTCTTGCTTCCCCTCGGCCGCCCTGGTCTAAGGCTTCCCAGCTGAGAGAAAATCACTACCGCTTCCAAGCTCGTGCTGCTTCATCCATCGCCCCGGCTACCCCGGCCCCAAAGTCTTCCCCCCTCATCATCCCATCTCTCTGTGCTCATGGGACTTGGCGATTTGGGGGCGCATTCGAGATCGTGTGACGCATTGCTCTCCTAGGTAATTCGCAGTAACAGTTGAGCAATACTACAAGACGAGAATTGAATGAGGTGATACAGTATATCGTAGTATTTTCGTCAAGTTCGCCAGTCTCTCTACGGATTGAACACCAAATAATCGACACTTGAGCACCTAACCCCTCCGAGAAAACAAGAAAGAACCCCATGCAACCCGAAAAAACGTCTTGGCGCCCGTTGCTAAATGGCTACAAAAAAGCTCTTCTCCCCCTCCTTCGGCAGCACCCTGGCCCTCCTCATAATCGGATCCTCGCAGCTTAGCCGGATCCTCTCGGGTGTAGCCGGGCTCTCCAACCTGAGCAGACCATCCCCCTCCCGGTCCTCCCCGACCGTCGCCGCCACTCCGTACTGCGCCCTCGACGCCTTGAGCGCGTCGCGGATAGCAAAGAATACCGCGCTGCCCATGAACAGCGGCGGCTCGCCCACGCCACGCGACCGCTGAATCGTCCGCAAGTCCTTCCACTCCACGTCCTTGAGCAGCGTCACGTTGAACTCCTGCGGAATGTCGCGGAACCCGGGGATCTTGTACGCTCCCGGACCCCGCGTGAAGAGGTTACCCGCCATCGGTCCGTTGCGGAGCCAGAGCGACTCCTCCATCGTGAATAGGCCTAGCCCTTGGACGAAGGCGCCCTGGATCTGGCCGTAGTCGAGCGCCGGGTTGATGGACTGCCCGACGTCCATCTTGATGTCGGCCCGGAGGCACGTCCACGTGCCGGTGAGGGTGTCAATCTCCACCTCGGCCGCCGTGACGCCCTGCGTGAAGTAGAAGAACATCTTGCCCCGGTTCTCGCCCCACGTGTACCCGATCTCTGGTGTCTTGTAGAACCCTTGCGCCGAAAGGTTCACGCGGTCAAAGTATGCAGCGTGCGCCAAATCCTTCATCGTCGCGCCAGGTCCCAACTTCTCCCTGTACGGCGCCAGGCGCTCGTTGAGCTGCGCGCACGCATTATAAATGGCGTAACCGTTAAGGTCTGACGAGGCCGACGCGGCCGTCGCAGAGGCGTTGGCCACTGTGTTGGTCGCTGTCTCGGAGATGAAGACGTTATCCAACGGCACCTCGAGAGCTTGTGCGGCGATCTGCGTCATCTTGGTGTGCAGTCCCTGGCCCATCTCCGTACCGCCGTGGGCCACCAGGACAGAACCATCGTGGTAGATGTGTACGAGAGCGCCTGCCTGGTTCAGGAAGAGGGCAGTAAAGGAGATGCCGAACTTTGTCGGGATGAGGGCCAGGCCACGCTTACGCCACTTGTTGCCGTCGTTGAAGCGTCTGATGAGCTCCCTCCGCAGCTCGTACTTTGACTCGTCCTGAACTTGCTTGTACATCAATGGTACGTGCCAGTCAGTCAAGGGCTGGTTGAAATGCGTCGGCTCCAACGGCTTGTAGAAGTTGATCTCACGGAACTTCTCGACCGGCATGCCCAATCGATCCGCAACCTCCTCCATGTAAGTCTCGGCAATGAACATGCCCTGAGGTCCGCCAAATCCTCTAAAAGCCGTGTTCGACATGGTGTTGGTCTTGCACAGCCGGCCGCGGATGAAGACGTTGGGAATCCTGTAGCAGCCGTCCGAGTGGGACATTGCTCGCTCGCAGACGGCCGCGCTCAGATCAAACGTCCAGCCGGCGTTGTTGAAGACGTCGAGATCCAGCGCTTGGATCTTGCCGTCCTTGTTCACGCCGACCTTCCATCTGCCTAAGAACGGATGGCGCTGCCCTGAAGTGACCATGTCCTCTTCTCTCGTCAGCATGTAGCGACACGGCCGCCTGGTTTTCCTCGCTGCGAGTGCGAGCGGTGCGCTGAGTTGGATTGATCTCGTCTCCTTGCCTCCGAAGCCACCGCCAAGTCGCTTGACGCGAACGACGATTTTGTTTGCTGCTACGCCCGTCATCCGAGCAACAAAGACTTGTCTGCAAGCTGTCAGTACAAGAAGCACAAATTTTAAGCAAGGGTGAGCTTACGTCTCGTTGGCGTTTTGGGTGCTGGAAAACACCTCCATCTCGCCATCCTCGAGCTTGGGGACTACCAATGAAGCCTGCGTCTCGAGATAGAAGTGCTCCTGGCCACCCATTCGCGCCGTGCCGGTGAAAATGTGATCGCATTTCTTGAATGCCTCTTCAGTGTCGCCGTTCTTGATCTCTCGGTAGTAGTTGTGGAAGCTGTCCTTTTCGATCGCTTCTTCGATTGTCAGGATTGATGGCAGGTCCTCGTACTCGACCTTGACTGCACGTGCGGCCTCAGCTGCCCTCGACGCTGAAGTAGCCAAAATCATGGCAATGGGCTGACCCGCGGTATGCACCTCACCTTCGGCAAAGAAGAGCTCGTCGAAGTGGGGAGCACCCCAGCGGTTCTGCTCAGGTGAATCGACGTCGTCTTTGTCAATATAATCGACGACACCAGCCATGTCCAGTGCGGGAGAGTAGTCGATGGACTTGATCTTTGCGTGAGCTTTCGTCGACAGCACGAAGCAGCCATGCAGCTCGTTCTTCGCTACCGGTATGTCGTCGATGTATTGTGCCTCTCCAGTGACCTGCTTCAGGGCGGCATCATGGCTCTTGGACTTGCCCACGGTCTCCTGCTCGTACGCAGCAGCCGCGCCGTGGTCTTCGGTTCCGCCAGAGATGCCACGCTCGAGTTCGTCGACCGCCTCGATATCCATGTGCTCGCTCTTCCCACCGAGATTGGCGATGACGTCGTGGTAGAAACGGTAGAAGAAGCTGAAGGCAAGCGCCTTCCGGTACGAAGCCATGCCTCCAGGAACGCTGAACTGCAGGTCAAAGTCTGTTCCCAAGGCATTCATTGCTCCTTCGAGGGTCTCGAGCTCGGCAATGCGCTTGCCCACCAAGTACTCCATGGTGTTCTTCGCGGCTACTGTCATGGCCGCCATTCCACCGTAGATGAGGTTGCACTCGGTCACTACGCCATCGTCGTCCATCTTGATCCGTAGAGCGCCGGTCACGATGGCAATGTCGTCGTCTTTCCTCTTGGCCTGCTTGTATGCTCTGAAGAACTCATTCTTGGCAGCCGTCACGGGTATCCTGATGGAAGCGATGATGGCGTCTTGAGGAAGTGCCGTCCTTCGGTATCCTGTAAAGAACTGTGACATGGGGATCTCGGTTTCTTCGCTCTGGGACTTGGCCACCAAGACGGCATTGGCTGCCCAGAGTACCGGGTTCAAGTCTGAGATGGGCGATGCAGTAACCAAATTACCGGCAGGGGTACCAACGTTGCGAATCTGTCTGCCAGCAAAGTACTTGAGTTGTTTGTAGATGCCCTCAAATACCTGGCCACGAGCGTCGCCATAGTGACGCGTTGCCACTTTGCTAATGTGCTCCAGATCTGTCAGGACGACGTTTCCTCCAATCTCTAGGTGGTCATCCTTGAATTCGTACTGTCGCAATTCGGCAATGTCTCCAACGAAAACGGAGACGGGGTATTGTGCCGCCTTGAACTTTACTTCAATCTGGGTTTCGGTGCTACCGCCGATAATCTTGGCTGCAGGATGTACGCTCTTGATATCCAGCAGCTGCTGAAGGGTTACTGGCCTGTACCACTTCTTCCTCTTGTTGCCGAACGAAAGCGGCCTCATCTCGTGCTTCTTGAGTGCGGGTGGGAAGATGAGTTCGGTATCGGGGTTGTACTCGATGAAGCCGGGGGGTGTGAATCTCTTGATGGGTTGGTCATCGAGCTTTGCCTTGTCCATGCAGCATCCGCCCTCCTTCTTCTCGCCGTTGCCATTCTCCATGCAGCAGCCTGAACCACCGTTTGTCCTCGCCTTTCCACATCCCCTCTCGACGCTAAATGTCTGCGCGGCCTCGAGAATAGGCTTGTAGCCGGTACACCTGCACAAGTTGCCATCAAAGGCTTCCTCGATGTCTTCTTCCGAGGGCGAATCGTTGTTGCGCAGCAGAGCGTACAAGCTCATGACAATGCCAGGGGTGCAGAAACCACACTGACTGCCGTTGCTCTTCGCCACGCGCTCCTGGGTGGGGTGTGGTCTCTTTGTGTTTCCGATGCCCTCGATGGTAATTACGTGCTTGCCGTCGACACTGGCTAGGGGTGCCAGACAAGCGTTCACGCTCGCATGGTAGATCTGCTTCGTCGTGGGGTTGAACTGGGAGATGACGACGGTGCAGGCACCGCAACCGCCTTCGCCACATCCACTGATTGGTGTTAGTGCGTGTCATGATTGCTTCGATCTCCTGCGCGCAAGAAAGCCAAGGCCTGGACATACAGCTTGGTTCCCGTCAAACCGATGCCTCGCAGGTACTCCAAAAGAGTAACCTCGGGGTCAATCTCGTCTAGCACGACCCGGGTGCCATTGAGGTAGAAGCGAATGGTATCGTCAAAGTTGGTTGTGAGCGAGTTCAAAGGCCCGACATCCCGCTCGGGGGAGATGGCGATAGGCGCCATATTGCCAGGAAGCTGTCAAGCACCGGCTCACAGTGAGATATGATACAGGTAAGTCCTTAGCACGCTTCGAGGGTCTTTTGGTAGGAGGAAGAGGAGGGAGTGTAAGGAGAGGGAAAGGAGAGAAAAACAAAGGGATGTAGGGGCGCTTCGGATGGTGGAAGAGAGACAACCCCGCAGCTTTATTGTAGAAAGAGAGGCGAAGACGATGCTAATTCGGGTTGAGCCAAGCCTCTGCAGGTACCTAGGAGTAGTATTTGCTGCAGAAGGGACCACTGACCAGCCAGTCGTAGTTGTGTACGGAGCATGTGTGTGTCTATTTACTGCATTCCGCTCGCCTACATCCGTGGAGACAAATGTTTGCAATTGTTAACGTGCGTTATCCCCCTCTGGTTTTCTGCTTCCATGTGCTCACTGATTGCTGTGGCAAGACAAAACAAAAGCTGTCGGGTGTCGCTGACATGTTGGCTGCGGTTTGCGACGGGCGTCTGGCGAATCAGAGGGCCCAAGTTTGAGCTTATCAGCGGATCCCGCCAATCTGCATCTGCGATTTTGGTGGGGTGCGTTATCGTTATCGGCCCTCCCCCCTCCTCCCCACTGAAGCCGGTGCTTCCCCGCCACTGAGACATCGTCTTTCAGTTGAAGCCTTGAGCACTAAGAGATCCGTGCAGCCCCGCTGCGCTCTATGCCGTTCACCAGCGGCCCCTCTGTCGGCCGGCTCCGTTTCCCCTTGGTCGGCATCTTCCACCCTGCATCGCGAGAAGGTCCAGACATGCAATTCGTTCCATCTTGCACCGATTCCCATCCTGAACCCCTGCATACGCTGTAAAATTGTACCTTACTCAACGAGTCGAATGCACTCAGAGATTCCATGCGGCTCTGTAGCTTGTACTGTACGCATCAACAAGGATTGGCCGGCACGTGGCCCGTCCTAAAGATACAACGCTCAATTCACGCTCCACGACCAAGTCTACCTTACCTCGGTGAGGGTGAAGCGATGTTCCCAGCCCAAAGCTCACTTCAACTCGCGTGTGCTCACCGATACTCACCGAAATACACCGAAAATGATTAGATGACAGACGGGCATCCCAGCCCTCCGTCACCGAGAATGATTCATCAACACTCCGGCGCTGACAAACCCCCTCCACCAACCTCTGTCATCTATCCCCAGTCGTTCATACAACTCTTTTACCCCGATCCCCGGCAAATCCTTCCAAGGTTATATTGCTTACCCCAGAGGATGCGGGCTGAGGAACGGGGAGAGTTGCTTATTGCAGGCCCCTCGCGGCTCCATCTTTGTCTATCTCAACTGCCGTCAAACCTAAATCCCCCGCCGTGTCAGCAGCCCGGCACCAAATCCGGAACGCCTAAGGCCGATTGACATCGCCGATAGCTCGAACCCCTCCCTTCTCCGCAGGAACATGGAGCAGCGTGGCATTTCGGCTGCGTTCCAGCTTTGCCGGCTGAGACAAGTTTTTGGCTCTTCGACTGTGCTATGACCGAGGTAGAGAGTAGATATAGCTTTGCCGACACGTCGATTCTTAAGCTGGCCTATCTGCCTCTTCAGAGCTCTCCGCAGCCATGGGATACCTGCTAGACTCGACAGCGGACAACATGAAGTTCTACAACGTCATCAACGGCGAGCGCCGTGGGAGCGATAACCACCACCAATGCACAGATCCCCGCACGGAGGAACCGCTCTGGGACGCTCCCCTTGCCACGACGCAGGATCTTGAGGAAGCCGTTGCGGCCGCTCAAAAGGCCCTCAAGACTTGGTCCAAGACTACGATCCAAGAGAGATCTGACCTCTTGCGCAAGATTGTGGAGATTTACACCACCCACAAGGATGAGCTGAAAGAAATCGTCATGAAAGAGACGGGGAAATCGGTAATACCATAACCTTTATCATGAATTCTATCCAATGATGAAGATGCTGATGACTCGTGGCGTCTAGAGTCTCATGGCCGACATCGAAATCACAAATACCTGCAATCAGACCTCGTACTACTGTATGCCTGCACTGTTCTCTTGGGTTGACTCGCTCATACTTACAATTGCCAGCAAATGTTCACCTTGAAGATGAAGTCACTTTCGAGGACGACAACATCAAGATCGTCGCCACTCACCAACCGCTGGGTATTGTGGGGGCTATCTGTCCTTGGAACTTCCCTCTCATCTTGTCAAACATCAAAGTGGCATCCTCGCTCATCACCGGCAACTGCATCATCGTCAAACCCTCACCCTTCACTCCGTATTCCGTCATGAAGTCCATCGAGCTGCTCATTGACGTCTTTCCTCCCGGTGTCGTACAGGTGGTCAACGGCGGCGTCGACTTGGGTATCGCAATGACCTTGCATCCAGGCATCGCCAAGATCAGCTTCACAGGGACAATCGCCACAGGAAAGAGTGTCATGGCGAGCTGCGCAAAGACGCTCAAGCGCTTGACCCTAGAGCTAGCGGGAAACGACGCGGCAATCGTGACGGACGACATTGACATTACAAAGGTGGCAGGACAGGTCGCACAAGGATGCTTCTTCAACGCCGGGCAGATGTGCGTCGCAACGAAGCGAGTTTACGTCCACGATTCGGTGTATGAAAAGTTCTTGGATGCCTTCAAGAGTGCAGTTGCCGAGAAATATGTCATCACCAAGGATGCCCACGCACCCAGCTTGTTCGGCCCCGTCTCGAACAAGATGCAGTATAACGTTGTCAAGGATATCTATGACCACTACAAGAAGAATGGCTTCAATATGATTGCTGCGGACCATCCCGAAAACTCCAAAGGCTTCTGGATACCCCCGACCATTGTCACAAAGCCTCCTGATGACTCTATCTTGGTCAAGGAAGAACAATTTGGTGAGACCGCTAATCTTTTCCCGAGTATCTTGAGCTAGGCACCGCCTCTTTCTGCTCTCACGCACAAGCTACTCATGCTGACTATGTCACCAGGTCCGATAGTACCCATCCTATCTTGGACAGAGGAAGGCGAGTTGTTCCAGCGAGTCAACCTGGCCAACGCTGGTCTCGGTTCCTCGGTCTACTGCCGCGATCTAGGCCGTGCCGAGAGCCTCGCCCGGAGGGTGGAGGCGGGAACAGTCGCCATCAACCTCCCCGAGATACCGCACCACGGAGGTTACTTCTCCGGCATGAAGGACAGCGGCCATGGGGGCGAGATGGGCAAACACGGCCTTCATTCGTACTGTTACACGCAAAGTCTACAATTTGGCAAGAGTTGATCAATCCGGCAAGATGGCAAACAAGCGTACCAGAAGACTTATTCCATGCTACTTTGAGCGTGTTACTGTAGTCAGAGACTCGTACCAATAGTCTAGTCTCGCTAAGACGTAGTACATACCAATGAACCCAACATTATCACACCGTTCAAGCAGTATTCGCCCGGTTCTCAAGCTCGACAAATTGCACCGCAATATCCCCAATGGTATCCTCCAACGGCCTATACTCCATCCCAAGGACCTTCTCCGCCAATGACGCATCAACCCCAAACATGCCCTCCGCCAGCGCCGCCTTGGCCGGGTTCCCCTTTGGTATCCGCCCCTCCCACTGCGGCAGCTTCTCCCTCAGAACATTCGCCAGCCGCTGATTCGACACGCCCCCGGGACTCACCAGGAACCTCTTCCCGCCCGCCTCGGGCGTCGTCGCCGCCAGCAGGTGCGCGCGCGCGACGTCCCGCACGTCGACGTACAGGTGCAGCATCTCAGGCGGGACCGGCGATTCCTTGGTGAGTGACGGCCCGCAGAGGTTCTGGTAGAGCATGTGGTTGCTCTCGTTGAGGTTCTGCGGGGAGGCCGTCGCCGAGACGTCGTAGAGGGGTCCGTAGACGATGGGCGGGCAGATCGTGACGAGGTCGAAGGCGGGTTTCGGTTCGGAGGAGAGGAAGGACCAGGCGGCCTTTTCTGCGAATTTCTTGCTGGCGACGTAGGGTATCGCCGGGTGCGTCGACGCCTCTGCGTCCTTCCTCGATACGCCGAGCCAGTCTTCCTCGCTGTAAATCTTGGGCGGGTCGGAGATGGGGGGCTTGGTGATGTCGATTACGGCGGCCATGGAGCTCGTGACGATGACCCTCTTCACGGTCGGCGCCTTGCGCACCACGCCGTGTAGGATCTCGGTCGTGCCCTTGACGGCTGGGTCGAGGAAGTCGGCGTTGGAGTTGCCCTTGCGGAAGTTGAAGGGCGAGGCCGTGTGGAGGACGACGTCAAAGGGCGCATGGTCGGAGACGAGGACGGTGTCGAAGGCACCCGGGGTGGCGATGTCGGGGACCAGGGCGAAGTCGAGCTGCGTGGAGGGGTAGGAGGCGAAGGTCTTGCGGAGCTGGTCGACGGAGGACTGGGAGCGGACGACGGCGCGGACGGAGTGACCTGCTTCCAGGAACTGGGCGAGGATGTGTTGGGCTATGAAGCCGTTTGCGCCGGTTAAGAGGACGCGGAGAGGCATGTTGGAACAGTTTGCTGTTATGATGATGATTACTCTTAATATTGACTTTTGAATACACAACCACCTTTCGACTGGAAGTTGATTGTTGAGCTTCAGTTCGAGCTTCTTTATAATACCATTCGCAGCGCTGCCGGAACAGTTCCGACCCCTCCGATGACATGTGGAAACTTGCCATCACAGCAAGCATAGCTCCATGACTCGCAGCAGCTTTCCACTTTCCTCCTCGAGTCCTCTCCCATCTTCCTTCCAAGGCCACCATACCTTACCTCGTACAAAAAGTGACTGAAAAGATCATGGAACTTTCCGACCAAAGCGACGGCTGGTCTTAACGTACCCGACTATCGGTACTCGCTACCAGTTGAGGAATTTGCCGCGGTACGGTCAGGCTCGTCGGAGAAAACGGTGTTTATTAAACTTTGGGATAACAAGTGCGATTGCAACTTTGACCGGGGGTTCGAGACATAGATAGGCGGCATAGGCCACAGCCTACAGGCTACGGTAAACAAGAGCTATCCGAAGACCGCGCCGGTGGGAGGGGTAATTGGCACACGAGGCAAGCTCTAACTGCTGAGGTGATGCAGCCATCGCAGAGTGCTCCGTGAGCTTCACCGTCGCTGGTGATTGACGAAGCAACATGTCTTCCGAATTCACTGCCGGCTTTGATTTTTTAGAGTTCCAGGGAACCATCGGCCGTGGAAAGGCTTGCCGTATCTGGGAACGAATTGCACGTATTAACCAATGGTCTCATCGCAACATCCCACTATCTGGTTGGTATTTAGAACAGGTCAAATTATTGCGTAAGTGCGTATCAAAGGCAGGAGACACTTATCTGGTTGGATTCCACCTTAGGCAACTCATGATAACTCCAGCATCGATTGATCAGCATTACATAGGACCCAGATTGCATCCGACAGACACTCTCTCAGCTCGGGGCCTATTTGCACGAATGTTTGAGACAAGGTAAGCCGGGACCTTTCCGGTCGCCCTTGCATGTTGAACGGAACCCCCACGTTCCCTACCGACCGTACAAATGTGCCCCCGTAACCCCCGCTTCCGCACCCGGCCGATGTACGGACTACCCCAAAACAACCAGCCAATCCCGGCAAGAACCCCAACAATCTGCCCCGAAAAGAACCCACTTTGCCGGGCCCGCCGCCCGCGTACACAAGCGCCAAAAGAAATCACACAAAGACAGAAATGCCGCATCGAAAATCAAAAATATTGACCAGCCTGGGGGTCGAACCCAGAATCTCCTGATAACTGATGAATCGTAGTCAGACGCCTTGCCATTGGGCCAACCGGCCATGATTGGTTGAATCCTCGAAAGGATGTTGACGAGCAAGGCCAAAACTGCGTACATATACCTTTCTCACAGTGATGTCAGCCCTAGCAGCGGCAACTTGAGCATCGCGACCTCGAAATGCACCACCTGATGTGGCAATACCATCAGTGCTTGTGAAACATCTTACACCCCAAAGATCAAGGTAAGGCTCATTTTATATAGACTTATCTCTACTCTTTTCATTCCTGGTTATCACGATCACGGATTTAGTAGCTCTGTCATTGTTGATACTACCAATTTGACCCTCCTCAATTGCTAGCTTCGTAGCGAATGTCTCATTTTGCTTCTCTCATTTCCATCTCAGGCACACTTGTCGCCAGAAACTGGCATTCGCGCTGCTAATTGCCTATTTTCTATGGAAGCGGTAAGAAAACTACGGATTGCTGTACTCGATGAATCAGTTTCACAAGATAGTCATGCGACTTAAGCGAGAGCAATTGTTCCTTGTGGTTGGCTCAAGCTCCCGTGGTCATGTAGATCGTTATGCTATTGATCTATGTAAGTTCACGACTTAGTCATGTCACTTCACGATTGTGCTGCGAATTCCACTCATAACTCCCTGTGGTGGTGGGGCTGACAATCAATTTGCGCCAGCGATCATGACTTTGCCATAGCTAAACGGCTATTTCGGGAATCTGGTACTGTAGCTAAAGAACGTCCCGCGGTCGGGAATAGGAACCCGTCAATTCTATATAATGGACAAGTTGTCAAATCCTATGATTGCCATTAGTTCATCCCATCGGCTCGTAACCTTTACTATTTTACACTTTTACCAAGCAAAACGTTGTTTACACTTCACACTTCCCAAGTCAGGATAACCTCAACGTGAGCTGATCCTTGTCGCGACTACGCCTGGTTAAGAGCTAATTTAGTTTACCATAGATGGCTCGCTTCATCTTCGTTTTTGCTGCACTTTGCGCTGCGACGGTCCAAGCTCATCCCCAAGCTAGAGGCAACTGCGGATTTGCCTTCACCGCTTCCGGAGGAGGTCAAGCTGGCGGATGTGTCGGTGCTGGCGACACTGGAGGTGTATCGATTCCCCAGGGACCGTACGTGCAGTTCGCCATGGGTAGAGACTGAAGTCAGCGTCACCAATGGCCCCATTGAGGGTTTGTCTGTTCAGTCTACGGGAGCGTGCTGAGCAACAGTAAACCGGACTTAAACTCGTCGACGCAGTTCAGGCGTACTAGATATGCCTCAAAACCAGTCGGGTTGAGTCGACTCAATCTCTTCAGGATGATGTAAGAAGCTTTCTGGCTGCAATGGACAATTTTTGGACGGGCATGGTAGGCTTGCGAGGTTGCGATATCTAAACATTGCATTTGTAAAATAGTAGCGAGCTTTAGGGTGGCTTTTCCTCTTGAAAACGATATCCCGTGAAGAGGAAGATTGAGAGTACTGATGGCGAAGACTCAAGCTGACCAAGTCTGATACTGATCATATGTTCGATGCAATCATGCCAGCTTCAGGTTCAAGAGCTGCCACACTGCACTAGAATCAGAATTATGATACCATCTTTATGGAAATTTCAAAAGTGCCACTGACAGTTTTGATGCTTCCCAGTTCCAACTCAATTTAGTAGGCCCGCTCTCTCTTATGTGATAGATCCGGTGATTCCACAAAACTACATCACGATGTCTCCACGGGGTAATTGTATCAGCGACTAGGTGAGTCTCTTTTGAGAAGATCGAGAGAGAGGACACCCATACAAAAAGACTAAACTACGTTGTCCCCGGATACTCATGAACCAACTCTCTGATACCGCCAGGTCAGTGAAGGTATTATCTGTCTATCCTAGATTGGCCTCTCTAAACGTCCATCGAAGTGATGTGTGTTGTTCAGTCGGTATATACCTGGCTTATCAGTTACCTCGGCCTCAAATTCATGATTACATACCGCCTCGTTTGATCACCTTGTTGCGGTCCCTTTCCCGAGATACTATCCATACGGAAGCAAGCATATAGATTGCTACTTGACAGCCTTTTCGTCTAACGCAGAGAGATTTGAGGCTCTCATATATAGAAATGAACATAGGAATGCCAGAAATTGCCTTTACTGATGTTGTTAGCGGGTGGATGGCTACGTAAAACACCACAGGGTAGGAACGTAGTCCTTGAGGCGTGGAGAAAAGCGTGTTCCGCCCATGCGTGACATACCTTTCGCCTGGCGGCTCCATGACAAGGGGACTGCTCTTCGTTGGTATACGAAAGACGAAACGGCTCCTTCCATACGGATGTGTCTACTTTTTTCAAGTCCAGTAGTTTCCGGAGAGACAGGAAACTCCCTGCACAAACTCACATACAAGGGGGCCAAGAGACGCATTTGTTCCGCTATGGGAGGCTGCATCAGCCAGCAACTCACTCCCACGCCTGTGACAACTATCCGGATAGAGAAATCCGTATTCTTTGGAGATACTGGCCGCTAGGGAGCGCCTTCACTTACAGCACGTTACCCGATCGCTCGTCGAAGAGGTTCCGCCCTTCAGGTCAACCGTCAAACTTTCAGGGATCCTTGTGGGGTTCGGTGTTTGGTAGACGAGAAAATCTGCTCTCAGAACGACCCTAGCATGGGCATGGCTTGTTGGTTCTCCCGGCTCCCACCCAAAACCAGACGAAAGCCATTATTTCCGATATGTATCCCCTGACAGTTTGACAGGCGTTATGTGGAGATGGCCACCAACAGAGAGAGCACCACGATTCATTCGCGAACGATCTGGGGACACGAACGGTTCATGGTGGCACGATAGGACTTTCGGGCCGTTACGATCGAATGCGTCTTCAGATGGTAGAAGAGCTGGCATTCCCTTGCCTCAACGTGGCCAGCTAGGTTAGTGACTCGCCAGTTCGCCAAGTCTCTTTGACACTGTTGCTCCATCCAAACACGGGGCAGACACAACTGTGCCCGCTGTCGAAGTCGCGTCGCAAATAAAACAGGCCCACTGAAGGGATTTGACAGCGTTACATCAACTCTTTGGAGGTATTATTCGAATTACTTGGCTCATTTAGATCTGCGCTTTCCGCACGCCGCTACGCCGCTATCACGAAACCCCAAAACTCTCCGTTTCACACCTCGACGCGCTGCGGCACTTAGTTGCCCGGGTACCATCTGCTGAGGATAGAAGTCACATTTGCCGGCCTGCTAAGGTGAGCGCAGTGACCGCTAGGCTCGGTCTCCGTCTTGGAGCCGGCAGGCAGGACGGCAGACATGCCCTGCTGGTAGCTCAGAGGCAGTGCGTTGTCAAGAGTGGCATAGAGGTAGGCGCAGTCAATGCCGTTGCTCCAGGGTTCGTAGCCGGAGGCGTTGGTGAAGGCACCGAGAGCGGTCCAGGTCATCTCGGACGCCCACTTCTCCTGCTCAGAGGCAGGAAGGTCGTTGAAGCCGGCCTCGGGGAGCAGAGTAGCGTTGCCAACAACACGGTCCCCCTATATTGCATGTTAGTATGACTGCCATTTTGTAACCGACGGGAACTGGGGTATTAGGTTACATACCTCGACAATCATCCAAGGAAGAGGCTCGCCGCCGAGAAGATCGAGCAAGCTGGAACCCTTGGGGAGCATGAAAGCACTGGCGTAGACGATGCTCACGACACCACCAGAAGCACCAGCAGCGGAGCGAGTGGCAACGTCGTAGCCCTCGACAGCGTTGCTGGCAACGACACCACCGTAGGAGTGGGAGTAGATGACGACCTCCT